TGAATAGCCCTACCATTGCATTCTTAAACACAAAGGGACAAGGGGGAGGGTATTTTCCTTAGAAACCTCAGTAAATGCTACCCCTTTATTATGATTTTGTCTATCAGTTTTTTGTGTGTTTTTTTAATAAAGTTTTTTGTTTTGTTTTGTTTTGTTTTTGACAGACACAGCGAGAGAGGGAACACAAGCAGGGGGAGTGGGAGAGGGAGAAGCAGGCTTCCTGCCGAGCAGGGAGCCCGATGCGTGGCTCCATCCCAGGACCCTGGGATCATGACCTGAGCCGAAGGCAGACGCTTAACGACTGAACCACCCAGGCGCCCCTGTCTATCAGTTTTTAATAGACTTTATTATTATTATTTTAAGTAGACTCCACAGAGAGCATGGAGCCCAACACCAGGCTTGAACTCACGACGCTGAGATCAAGACCTGAGCTGAGATCAAGCGATCAAGACGCTCAACTGACTGAGCCACCCAGGCACCCCCCAATAGACTTTATATTTTAGAGCACTTTTAGATTCATATAGAAATTGTGCAGAAAGTACAGAGTTTAATTTCCAGTCCCCTCACCAACCTTCCCCTCCCCGGTTTTCCCGAGTATTAATCTCTTGCAAGAGGATGGTACATTGATTATAACTGAGGAACCAATATGGATACAGATTATTAATTAAAGTCCAGAGTTTACACCAGGGTTCCCTCTTGATGATGTATGTTCTAGGGGTTTTGACAAACATATAATAGCAGGGAGCCGGAAAAGTCCTCCTTCCCAACCGTTCATCTCTCCCTCTCCACCCACCCCTGGCCCCCACTGATCCTTTTACTGTCCCCGGTAAATGTCACATAGGTGGAATCATACAGCCTTTCTAAATTGGCTTTCACTTAGTGATACGCATTTCAGGTGCCTCCCTGTCTTTTCATGGCTTGAGAGCTCAGTTCTCTCTAGTGCTAAATAATCGTCTTTTTTTCCTGCAGACTTTTTCCCAGTAGGAAATGCCCCCCAACATCTTTGGGGTTTTAGGAGCCTTGTTCTTGGCAGGTCTCACGGAGGGGCCTCGCTGTTCCCGCTGAGGCTCTGGCAGCTCTGTCACCCGCAGGCCTGGGAGCACCTTAAGCCTCTGTTGGGACTGAGGCTCTGGGCGGTTCTGTGGGGAAGGTGCCCAGTGAGGCCTTGTGGGAGGAGGGAGGGAGGAGAGAGCAGGAGGGGGTGAGGCCTGGAGGGATGAGGTGCTGGGTGGATGCGGGGAGAGAAGGAAGCAGCTGTCTTGGGGCCGTCGGAGTGGCCTCGGGCATTTTGGTCAGGGCGATGTGGGTCACCGCTCAGCTGAGGGCCGAGGCACAGGCAGGAGGCAGACACCTTGTCCTTCCCAGCTGTCCTTCGTTCTGAAGATGGATGTGGGGCTGAGGGACCAGAAGGCCAGAATCGCTACTCTCCCCAGTGGATAACTGGGAGTTGTTTCAGTCACGGGGCAGTGAGTGGGGCGTGGGGGGCGGTTAAAGAGAGAAAATCTGGCTCCCCGGCCTGGAGGTGCAAGGCTTGGGGTAGCCAAAGGGCAAGCAAGCGTGGTGAAGTGTAACCAAGCGAAGAAAGAGGTTAGCAGAGGCCCAGACATCCGCTGTATCCAGCAGTTACCTGAGAGCAGGCCCAGGACAGGGCCCCCCGTGCGCCCCCCCCACCTCCTACTGCCCCCAGGACTTTGTGACTTGAGGTCCTTCTGTGGGAAGGTCCTGGGCAGGCCCGAGCCTCACCACCGTGTGCCGGAGACTTCATCCCTTCCACCCTTGCTCGACCGGGCTGTGGGGGATGGGCCGGGCAGGGGAGAGGAGATGGGGCAAAGAAAGGAGTCGGGGCAAGCCCTGTGATTGGCTCTGGCCGACAGACAGAAGTGACCGGTGTCACTTCCCAGGCTGTGTCTTGTTGCGAAGGCAGCTTCCTCTTGTACTCCTGGAATGTTCTGTCTTCAAGCCAACCCTGCGCGCAGCCCAGGAAGACTCTGTGGAGGGAGATCCGGGTGGGCAGTGTGACCCTCAGCAGGCACCCCTGCCAGCCCTCGGGGACCGTCCAGCCCAGGCCGGCCTGCGGGCGCTCGCTCACACAGCAATGCCAGAACTTTGCCAGCAGAGGCCCCAGCTGATCCCACCAGCCCAGACCCAGCACAAAAATGGTGGCTGGTCAAAGACACTAACTTGGGGGTGGGGGGCATTTACTATGCAGGATGTGTAGGGGATACCGTTTCTTTTTATCTGTACGGCATCCCATCTTTTGGGGGAACCCACTGCCCCACTCCAGGTGGCCACAGCACCCCGCTCCCCGCGTGTTCCTCTTCCGTTCCCAGCACTGGCTGATCCCTGCTCCGTCTTCCAAGAATTGGCCTCTGGGATGGGAGGGTGTTTGCAGCTGAGTAATCTCAGGAGCTTGCCTGAAAAGCCCCGAGTCCAAAGTTGCCCGGATTGTCTTGTTTTCCAGGCTGGTTGCTCAACCTTCTTCTACCAGTGATCACCTGCTGATAATTATTCCTCCCGCCCCAACTCCCTCCCCTCCTTCCTCCCTCCCTCCCTCTCCCCCCTTCCTCGCTCGGATGGTTTCAATCTCAAGGTAATTTCTACTGTTTCCACCAAAGAACTGTCACTGGCACCGAAATTGGCACAAGGGAGGACGTTGTAAGTCACGGGGCCCCAAGGGGAAGGGCACCCCAAGAAGTGAGAGGCTCCCCGAGTCATGGGGATTCATGGTCCTGTTCCCAGGAGCTGAACTGTTACCAGGGACAGGAGGTAGGGCAGGATGCTCCCAATAGCGCTGGGCAGCTTGGAGAGGGGGACCGACACCCCCGAGTTCTCACCTCCCCGCAGGAGGGTGCCAGGGCCTCCAGGTTGGCTGCCTTGGCTGGAGTCCCAGAACACCAGCCTCGGAGGCTGGACCTGCAGGCAGCTGAACCACAGGCCAGAGCGCAGGCCCAGCTGGAAAGCACTGTCATCTGGGAGCATCTGGAAGACTTGAGATCCTGAAACTCCCCACCTGGAGGAGGCAGTTCCCACAGGGTGCCTGTGCCTGAGGGAGCACCCACATGGCCACTGGGCCCTAATCCCTGTTCCTAACCCCCCAGGCCCAGACCTGGACCCACCCAGAGGGAAATGTAGGCATTCTTAGTTTTTGTAAGAATCCTGGGGAACATTTGTGGGAATGGTTTTGAGGACGCTCAAGCAAGGACCCGCCCTCGGGAGGTTGAACTGACCTTGACCTACTGCACCCCCTTGGCCAGACGGAGAAACCCTCACTGGAAACTGCGCCCAGTGTTGCCATTTGCACCAAATATCTTCCATCCTGGTGGGGACGGCTTTGCCTTCATTAAAGCTGACCTTGGATTTAGATTTGCTCGCCTGCCCCGCACCCACGGGCTTACCCGAGCCCCTCCCCCAAACCCCCCCATCTACTGGGGACTCCCACAACACGTGACTTCTGACCACGGAAGTCACTTTCCTGCCGCAGGAGTGGGGCAGGGGGCCTAGGCTGGCGGGACACCCCTCTGGCAGCGTGGCCCCACGTCTAGGGACAGTGGGTGTCATCTAAAAGAGATTTCCCCCACCTCCAACCCCCACCCCCGAGGCCCAGGTGCCCCAGAGTGAAGGAAAAGGTTTTGGCCAGCCTTTCAAGAGAGGAAGCCAAACCAGCCCAGAACCAGAACGGGGCCGAAGGTGAGAAGAACCGGAAAACGCATCAAAGGAAGCACATCATAGCCCCAAGCCGCAGAGCCCAAGGCAACGGGCTTATCACTAGAGCCTTTTGGCTTTGATCCGTAGCCCTGCCTTGTTTTGGTCACACACGCTAATCATTGCAATGGTAATAAAATGTCTTCTTGGTCCTCTGTGTCAGTGGCAGTTAATTTGGCTGTGTCGTGTGCAGGTTGTAGAAATTTGCACTAGGAGCTCGGCAAGAATCGGGGAAGGAAGAGTGGTCGCCCAGGTCACCGGGGTGCACAGGGCGGCGGAGCATTTGGGATTCTGCGTGTGCATGTGGGGAGCAGCGTGCGTGCAGGGCTGTGTCCCGGGGTCCTACTGGCTGCTGCCTCCCTGCAGGGGAGCGTATGGGAACCAGCTGGGTGGATGGGCCATCCCATGGCCGCTGTCCCCCTGCCCCTCTTGCCGGCGTCTCTCAGGCTTCCTTTTCTTGGCTGAGCCCACATCCCAAAGCCTGATTGGGGACTGGACCAGGTAAGGTGGCAGTTATGAGCCTCCCGTGGTCTGCCCTGCCTGTCCTCGGTGGGTCACAGGCCAGCCCTGCATGCATGGGAGAGAAGAGAGGGTAGACTGGGCGGGCCAGAGAGCAACCTGGGGGGGTGCCCAGGGACAGCTTCCCTGGGCAAAATGGAGGGGGAGAGGGGTGAGCTGTTCACCCAAGTGGGGTCACCCTGGCTCTCAGGGATGCTGCTGAAAGGGATGGTGGGCAGAGAGGGGGCTAGGGGTCTCCCCCAGGTATCCTGGCTCCTGGCTCCAGGCCACTGCCCCCTCCCACCGGACCGCTCCCAGGGCAGGGCTCTGGAGGTTGCCCTCCCCTCTAAGTCTTCATCGCTTCTTCTCGGGAGTGGGAGTCATCATGGGTACCGTCACACCAGGGTGTAAGATGCCCAGCGCCTCAGCCCACCCCAGCCAGGCCGTCCTGCCCTCACCCCCAGAACCAGCACACCCCCACACTGCCCCAAACCGTCTCCTCCTGGGGCTTTGCAGTGGACCACCCTGGGGACAGCAGACCCGAGGCACCCACAGGCATCAGCCTGGGTGACTCCTGGGTGCCCAGGGCTCCATCCTGTCCTGCCCTGGTGACCGGGCCAGTGGGCTGGGCAACAGCGCCGCGGTGCCGGGAGGGAGGGCACGTCCCATAGGTTGCTGCAGCGGCCCCTCCTCCTGCCCCTTACTCATTAGCCAGGCGGCAAGGTGACATGGACTTGGCTGGGCAAGGCTGGCTGTAGGAGTGCCCAGGCACGCAGGGCGGAGGGCAGCCTGGTCTCGGAATGGACAGCATTCAGGACACGGTCCCCCAAGACCGAGGGGGCTGTTGCCCTGCCCTCCGCAGGCTGGTCCCCGTTGGCTTTGGAGCTGAGGTGTGGACGCTCTTCGCTCTTTCTGGACCCCTGGTAAGGAGGTGAAGTTGCGGGGTGGGGGATGGGCAGTAAGGCTGGGTGTGACGGGGGCTGTGCCAGGAGCAGCTCACACCCCTCCCCAGAAACTTCCCACGCTGACGGTGTCCAGGCACTACCAGGGGCCACCACCCAGAGCAGGTGACAGACAGCGGGACTGCTGTCCCCGGACCGTGCCTGGGGTGGCAGTGGGGCCTGACCTCGCTCAGCAGCCAGCAGCCCCCACTCGGAAGGGGCAGGTGTGTCCTCCTTCAGAAACAAACAGGAAGGCTGGATTAAATCCCTGGGATGACCAGTGAGACCCATTAATGCAGGAGTCTGTGGGCCCCCCCTGCAGACAGTTTGCAGGGAGAAGAAGGGGCCATCTGCCCGTTTTTATTTGCAATGGGAAAGTTGCTTTAGATCCTTTTTTTTTTTTCCTCACCATAAAGACTAGTCAATATATGCTCCCTAGGAAATTTCCGGACGAAATGAAAAGTTCCAATGAAATTTATCTCTAATCCCACCACCGGGACGTAGCCATTACTCTTTTGTATGAGGTCTGACCACACGATTATTAATAACACTGCTGGAGTATGAGGTGTTTGAGTTGAGCTCTCTGTGCTCCAGGCTGCTGGGGGCTAGCTGCTTCTCGTGCATTCCTGCACTTTCAGGCAGGGAAACAGGAGCCCAGAGGTGGAGCCCAGAGGCTCACGACCACTGCTGACAGCGGAAAGGGAACAAGACTCAGGTGTCCTGACCTCCCGCTCCGGCTGCCGCGTCCGCCTCAGCCCCAGTGCTCGCTTTCTTTCCCCGGTTGCAGGCAATGGGTCCGGGGACTGTGTTTTTTTGTGGGTCTCTGGTTTGAGGCCCCCCAGGAGCTGGAAAAGCCTCAGTGTGGGGCTGGGCGGTGCAGGGCCCTTGACCTTGGTTGCTGTTGCCCAGTTTTTGTTCCAGGTGCTGACCTTCATGATCCATGTCGTGAGTTCGGTGTTTTGCGGGCACCTGGGCAAGCTGGAGTTGGCGTCAGTGACCCTCTCAGTGGCCGTGAGTATAGATGGGTCGGTGTGGGGACGCTCTGCCCCGCTCCCCACTGAGCCACAGCATGAGGGCTGACATTCCCAGCTGGGCCTGGGAGGGGGGCCTTGCCCAGTGGCCCACAGTGGGTGCAGGCAGGGCCTGGGGCAGGAAGGGGGTCTCTGGCTCAGCCGCACATCAGGGCTGCCGTTGGGTGGCCTCCCCCAGACGCAGGGTGCCCCCTAGGTTCTCTTCCTTCATCCCCCGCCCCTGACAAGCCCTGTGTTCTCTCCTGTGCTCGACTCCAGTTTGTCAATGTCTGTGGAGTTTCCATAGGATTGGGCTTGTCCTCGGCATGTGACACCTTGATGTCCCAGGTAGGTGGGCCTCCTGGAGCCTGGCAGGAGGGCACCCACTGAAGGCCATTCAGTGACCCCTGGATCTGGGAGCCCATCAAACAGGCCCAGGGACAGCTGCTCCCCGGCCCGCCTGCAAGGCCTGCATGCTGTCAGGGACTTAGATCCATCGTTTTGAAAGAGTCTGCGCAGACGGGCAAGAGAGCCATGGAGGGAACGGGGTGGAGGCCGGTCCCTGACCTCATGTGTCAAATGCTGAGGGTGCACCTGTGCGGACCCTCCCGCCCTCGGGGGCCCACAGCCCAGGGGGGCTCAGCTTTCCTGGGGCAGGGATCTGGACTCACAGTGGACCTGGGGACCTGGGCTTGGTCCTGGCTGCCACTTAGCTGTATGGGGACTTGACATATGTTCTCGGAGCTTCCCTTGCTCTTGCTGTGATTGGGAGAATGAAGCTCTCCTTGTTAGGGGCTTTTGAAGAACTGGGCACAAGGGGTAGATAGAGGTTGGCCTTGGCCGCAGGGCAGGCCTGGAGCTAGTGCTCACTAAATAACGGCTATTGTGATTCTATGAGCAGGTTGGGACCCCTGCAGAGGAAGCTGAGCCCAGAAGGACCCCCTCCAGGCTGTAATCAGGGGGTGCCAAAAGCCCGCTCCCGGGGCGCAGAAGCCTGCCGATGGTGGTGTCCTGGGCCCATCCCCACAGCCCTAGCTCCGCTAGGAGCTTGACGCCCTGGCTAGGCTCACCGGGGGACAGAGGGAAGGTACTGAAGGGGTGGGCAGCCTGACCCAGGACTGAGCTGTTTTGCAGAGCTTCGGCAGCCCCAACAAGAAGCACGTGGGGGTCATCCTGCAGAGGGGGACCCTGGTGCTGCTTCTGTGCTGCTTCCCCTGCTGGGCCCTCTTCCTCAACACCCAGCAGATCCTGCTGCTCTTCCGGCAGGACCCGGCCGTGTCCAGGTACTGGCTTCTGCTGGGACGCCGGGGAGGGACCCCGTCAAGGAGACCCCTAGCCCCGCCCCGCCCCTCCCCGCCCCCGTGCTTCTCTGGGTCGCCAGCGGTCACAGGTGCAGCTCCTAGGGGCAAGGTTCCAGGATTCCGTGTTCGGGTCTCTCCCTTCTGGGGCGTGCTGCTCCAGCTGCGACCAGCAGGGGGCAGACACGCGGCCAGTTTTTAACTCGGAAGGAAAGGAGACATGATGAAGGCATTTGCGTGTGTGCCCCCGCCTGGGAATACCTTCTTCATTTTGTAGGATCTGCGCTTCATTTGCTTCTTTCTTGATATCACCTTCTCCCCGCTCCCCCTTACACACCGCATGTTACCGCGAGTTTACGTTCCCTAGCCATGACGGCCTCGTGGTTAGGTCCTTGCCAACCCCCCCCCCCGCGCCCCGCACCCGGCACCTTCCAAGTGCATAGTAGTGGCGCCCCGTGACTACTTGTCTTCAGGGCTTGGCAAGGCCTCTCTTCAAACCTGGGGTGCCCGGAGTTTCCTCGGGCTGCCTCCCAGCCCCCGCCCCCGCTCCTGGAGGGCACAGCCTGGGCCGCTCTGGAGCTTCTGGCTCTCTTGCAGGCTAACCCAGGAGTACGTGCTGATCTTCATCCCAGCACTTCCGGTAAGTGCCTCTGTCTCCCGAGCCTGGAGGAGGGTGGACCTACACTCCCTTTGATTCCGGCGGTTTGCTTTTCCATGCTTTTCCATGCTTTTCCATGCTCTCTGCTGGGGAGGCCCATGAGCCTGCAGCCACTTCCGGTCGAGCCACCGAGGCTGGCTGGAGGCGAGAGGAGAAATCCGGCCTCATTCCAGTGCATGCAGAATCACCTTTTAGGAAGTAACATGTTTTCTGATTAGAAAACCATTTATTGGAGAAATCGTGGGAAGCGTGGGAAAGAAACATTCTAAATCACCTCTAATCCTGCCCCCCCCCGTGACCCAGAGAACATAGGGTAATTCCTCTTTCCAGGGTTATTTCTGTTCGCGGGCGCGTGTGTTCAAACACGCATGCGCACGTGTAGTTGGAAAAAGGGTCAACGGGTGTATCTTGTAGCATACCTGCTTTTCCCCTTTCCAATATGTTGTTAGTCCCTGGATGTGCTTATAAATAGCTTTCCACAATATCCACTTCAAAGGCTATGGAACATCCTATGGTGCCACAATGTATTAACCAATCCCTATTTGGTAGGTATTTCGGTTGTTTCCAACATTCACGATCAGAAAGACGATTGTGATAAACACCCTTATAGAAAGATCTTTGTGAACATCTGTAACGATTTCCTTCAGGTGCATTACTGGAATTGGCGTTGCTTTGGCAATGGCTTTTGATACCAGTTTGTACCAATTCTCCCCCACTAGCAACACTCTCGTTTAGCGCAGAGTATTGTTACTAATGTTTTTTTTCCCCGATTCGAAATAGTTTTCACAGGCATTTTATTGCTAATGAACATTTTTCTTCACGTATTTATTGATCATTTTGTTCTTTTGTGAACTGTCCATACCCTTCGCTTTAGTGGGTTAATCTTTTTTTTTTTTTTTAAGATTTATTTGTTTATTTTAGAGAGAGAGCGAGGGAGGGCGGGGCAGAGGGAGAGAGAGATTCTCAAGCAGAGTCCCCGCTGAGCGCAGAGCCTGACTCAGGGCTTAATCTCATGACCCCAGAGATCGTGACCTGAGCTGAAACAAGAGTCCGACGCTTAACGGCCCGAGCCATCCAGGCCCCTCTGGGTTAATCTTTTTCTAGTTATTATAACTCTTGTTAACTAATAACTCTTTGTCATATATGACACATACCTTTTCATTTTTTAAACTTGTCACTCGCCTTATAATTTTTTTGATATTTTTGACCTAAAGAATTTTTAATGTATACATAACAGACCCATAAACCCTCTTCTTTATGGGGTCTTTGATGAGCTTAAAAACACTTACCCCATTGCAAGATTATATAAACATTTGCCTCTGTTGTCTTTGAGCCCTCCTATGGTTTTTATTTTTACCTTTAAGACTCTAATCCATCTACGGGCGCCTGGGTGGCTCAGTCATTAAGTGGTCTGCCTTCGGCTCAGGTCATGGTCCCAGGGTCCTGGGATCGAGTCCCGCATCGGGCTCCCTCCTCGGCGGGAAGCCTGCTTCTCCCTCTCCTACTCCCTCTCTCACTGTGTTCCCTCTCTCACGGGGTCTCTCTCTGTCAAATAAATAAAAATCTTAAAAAAAAAAAAAGACTCTAATCCATCTAACAAACTTTAACTAGGACTCATGATTGCATATTCTCTCCTTTCTCCATTAATTTATTAAATACCAGCTAGGCAGTGCATCTAGTCAAGTCAGTTTCTGAGATTTCCGGCTGGACCCGGTAGTCTGTATGTCTGCCCAAGAATTCACTGCTACCCTCTTTAATTTGTTGAGGCTTAGTGAGACACGTGATTAGCTGGCGGTATTGTGTTGGGGATGGCGTCTTTGGAATGACACAGCACCCCTTTGGTGTCTTGCCAAACAGGGCCACTGGGGCTGGGTCAGGGGGAAACATCCAATAATGTTAATCACCGTGGTAACTCCTTTATCGAATAAAGCAAGTCCCTCCCATAAAATGCTGCTGTATAATTTAACAGTAAAGTAATAACAGAAGTGCCAAACATCATTTACATAATGCTTACCTAACACTTAGGATGCTTAAACGTGCCATTTCCTGTTTTGTGACCATTTGGCAATATTAACTTTACATATATATGTAGAGGTGAATATGCATGCAGTATGCGCACAGATGATTAGCCCCATTGTAGATGAAGAAACTGAGGCCCAGAGAGGTTAAGCAACTTGCCTAAGATCACACAGCCGATAAGAGAGTGGGGCCAGCACTTGAACCCAGGCAATCTAGCTGCAGCTCCATGCTCTTAAGCACTGTGCTTTACTCAACAGAAGCAGAGGGCTAAGGGAAGGGATGGGGTAGGAAGGCGCAGGCCAAGGGCCGTGCTTTGACAGAGGACAGAAAGGGGGGCAGGGACACACACACTGACGCGCATGCTCTCTCTGTCCTCCACCTGCCACCCTGTGGGGACTTGAGCCTACTCAGCAGGGACTACTGATGGCCACACGGCTGAGCCCCCTTCCCCCCACCCCCGCCACCCTAGCCCGAGGCCACTCCCCCCAGATTATGGTTTTCAGCAGCCAGAGCCAGACTCAAGGGTTGTCACAGCCTGTGGACTGGGGCTCTGCTGGGTGCTTCTGTACGCAGGCCCCTGGGTGGCCTCCCTGAGCTGATGGAAGGTCCGGGTTGGCAGCCAGAAGCTCTCTGCCAGGTGCTCGGCCTCTTACACAAACCTGCTGAACTTTGCTCTCTGTTGGAGCCACCCTGCCCTGCCTGTCTGTCCTCCCATGCAGCCGAGCAGGAGCCCGGATGGGGGCCTCTATCCTCCTAGGCAGGGCCAGAGCACCCGAGATGGCTCAGCGGGCTTCAGCCCACCGGGGGAGTGGGGGACGCGGGGGTTCCAGACATTCTTTGGTGAGGTAATTGCTCCATACTCAGGTATCAGAGAAATATCTGTTGATGTTCATCTCGTGCTTTTGGGTAGTCATTGTTTATTTGTGTGTCTGGTTTTTTTTTGTTTTTATTTTACACAGGCATTTTTCCTTTATGTGCTGCTGGCGAAATATTTGCAAAATCAGGTACAAGTCCCTGGCTAGCAGGGTGACCCCCGGGCCCAGCACACTGCCCTATTCCAGTGGGAAGGGGTGCCTGAGGCTTTTCTCCTTTCTGCACGATCTGTGAGCCTGACTAGGGCCCAGCAAGGAGCTGCATGTCCCCAGCCTCCTTCCAACCCCTGGACGTGCCGGGGCTGGGCCACACCCCTCACTCCTGCCCCCCACCCCCTTCATTTATTTCAGGGAATCGTCTGGCCCCAAGTGTTCAGTGGCATCGTGGGCAACTGCATCAATGGCTTGGCCAACTACGTCCTGGTTTCCATGCTGAGCCTGGGGGTCAGGTGAGCACCGGGGACCCCATCAGGCAGCACTGCCCACCAGGCACCCCACTCCCAACTAGGGCGGGTTGGTCACCATCCTTGCCTCACAAGAACTGCAGGGGCTGCCCCTGCCATCCAGAAGCGGGTGTCGCGAGGAATTGGGGGGTCCTGCTGGTCCCTTGGGTCCTGGGGGGGCTCCCCACCAAGGAGACGGGGAAAGGAGCCCTTCTCATCCGTGCCCCAGCCCGCCAGGAAAGGCCGAGAGTGGGGACCTGGCAGGGTGACTCCAGGGACTCTGTCGTCATGGTGCCTGTGGCACTAGAGGGTCCCGTGGCCAGTCCCGGGATGGGGGCGCTGGCTGGGCCATGCCTGGGCCCGCTTCCCCTCCATGCTGGCTTCAGCAGGGGAGCCCCCTACGCCGAGGGCCAGAGTCGGCCCCCGGCCCCAGCCCTGCTCTCTCTCCTTTCCCAGGGGCTCTGCTTACGCCAGCACTATGTCTTACTTCGTGCAGACCATCTTCCTCTTTCTCTACATTGTGCTGAAGAAGCTGCACCTGGAGACGTGGGCAGGTGCAGAGGGCTGCCCTGCCTTCGGGGGGCTGAGCAGACAAGCATCAGGCAGGACCCCGGCACGGGCCCAGGGTGTGCATTTGGCAGGTGGACAGAAGACCCGGTTGGAGTCCCGTTGGAGGGGCCCTGTCTCCAGGCTTGCCTCAACTTCCCTTCGGGGCCTCCTTCCCCTTTGCTCCACCCCTCAGGACCCCGCCCCCAAAGGCCCCAGATCGCCCCCATCAAATGTGACGTGGTGCAGAGCCCCGCTTTCTGGCCCGCTCCCTGATCTCAGGGTGGTGACAAGGGGGGAATCCTAGGTGTCAGCCGTGGACCCAGCACCCAACGTTTCTGACCCCAGTTAAACTCCATGATGCATTATTATCCCCATTTTCTTTACATAGAGGAAATTGGTACATGGTGGGGCTGGACTCGAACCTGTGCCCTTCTGAGCTTTTCTGCCTCCCGAAACCTAACTCTGTAGACCGTGCGGTCCCCTTGCAGGCATTTCAGGACCAGCTCTCTGGCCAGGGCCTCAGTCACGGCGCAGGGATTCCGGCGTGGGCGCCCCCCCCCGCCCCGTGGGCACCGCCCCCCGCTCTCCATGCCTGCGCAGCCCTATCTGCCCTGAGAATCCTTTCGTCACCCTTGACCTCATACCATCCTCCCAAGAATCCTTCTGGAGAGGCAGGGCAAAGATAACTCCGATTTTCAGATGAGGAGGTGGAGCCCAGAAAGGGCAGGGTAGTTGCCCAAGATCCCGGCGTGGTGATGCAAGCAGAGTGTGCGGACTCTCACCCGCCCTGTGGTGCTGGCCCTTGCCCTGCACCCTCCTCCCGCACCACACCAACCCTGGACCAGCTGGCACGCCCTGTGCAGAATGCAAAGTGCCTGCACATGCTGAGCCGAGCCCGGGGCGGGGGCGCAGAGCCAGAGGCTGGCAGGGGCTTCTGGCAGTGGACGGGCATGCGCGGTGGGCTCCCTGCTCGGCTCTTGAGCGCGGCTTCTGTTCCTAGGCTGGTCCAGCCAGTGCCTGCAGGACTGGGGCCCCTTCTTCTCTCTGGCTGTCCCCAGCATGCTCATGATATGCATTGAGTGGTGGGCCTACGAGATCGGGAGCTTCCTCATGGGTACGTGGATGAGCACGGCTCGGGGAACCGTGTGGGCAGCTCTGGAACCCCCTCCACCCCCCCCACCCCCGTCCCGGGACGCAGCAGCCTGGGCCAGGCTGGGCCTGTGGCTCTCTCATCTCCCCCAAGAGGTCCTGAGCTCCCGGAAGGCAGGCCTGGGCCTTTCATGTCCAGACCCCAGCACCGCCCAGCAAAAGGCCTAGAACCGAGCAGGTGCCCGGGGGAAGGTGGTTGAGTCAGTGAGGGAGCGAGGGACTGAACCAGCAGGGGTGTGAGCATATGTGGGTTTGTCAGGCATGTGACACGTGTGCTCACCGGAGCACCCAGGGCAAAGTCCACACAGCCTGAGAATCAAGCCAGTGCGAGAATGGGCCTGGGAGACCTTCTGGTCCAACCCTTGCCCCCCATTTACAGATAGGTAAACTGAGCCCCAAGAACAGGAGACTGTCCAGAGTCGCACAGAGTTGCACAGTGGTAGGGCTGTGACCCAAACTCGGCTTTCCTGATCTTGGTCCAGGTCTCTTTTCTCTCGCTCACCATGCCAAGGTATACCAAGGACTTGAAAGTCAAACCATACAGGGAAAGGCCTCCAGAAAATTCCACTGGGATTTTCCTGGAAGGCTGAAGGCCAAGTAGGAACATCTTCCACTGCAAATCTGCCCTTGGAAATCATTTGCCCCTTGGCCTCCAAAGCAGAGGGGCATTCTGTCCCAGGTCTGTTAGCCAGCCCCAGGGCTGGGTGCTCACCGTGTGCACCCCAAACCCCCCCACTCGCCCCCGCAGGCCTGATCAGCGTGCTGGACCTCTCTGGCCAGGCCATCCTCTACGAGTTGGCCACGATAGTCTACATGGTGAGTGTCTTCTGGGGGCACCTTCGCCAAACCCTCCATGCTGGCCCAGCCCCCCTGACGGTCTGGGGTGTCACAGAAGAGGGGCAAGCGGTCACCCTAAGGGCCATCTCTATCTCCCGAGGGACCCTCCTGGACCCTCTGTGCCCGTTCAGGTCCGGGCCCTGCTGGACACACAAGTGACTCACAGCTGTTCCATGGAGGGTAATACTGAATGCACGTGGTGTTAGAATTTTTTTAATGAGCACCATTTAAAAATGGGGAGATTTCACATTGTAATTTGAATTTTTGCCTTTTCTTGAAAAATGGGACATTCCATTTAGCGGTGGGCCCATATTCCTGCACGCCCCAGTCAGCAAGAGCTGGGTGATGGTATCCCCTGGTGGTGGTGGTGGGGGACATCGCTGTCCCCCACCACGGTCCCCGTAGCTCCCTCCTCTTCCCACAGAGACATGAATTGTCCCATGTCACTCAGGTGTGTATCTATCTGCCAGCCTCCTGGGGACATGCAGTATGCGACCCTGGGCTTAAGGAAATGACTCACAAAAGTCTACACTTAGAGCACTAACGTCTAAGGTGCTTTATTTTACAAATGGTTTCCACAAAACTTTGTTTTTCTGGCATACTTAAGACCACAGCTACCTCTTAAAAATGTATTTACTCACGAGGTTTTGGCAACACATTGATTTAGGTTGCAGGGCCAGTGGCCTTGTGATGTCTTCTGGAGCGGGGGTGGGGGGCAGCATTGCCTGGCTCACTCAGGGCATCCCCAACCCATCTCCCAACCACAGCCGAGGATGCCCTCTGCCCTTATGCTGCCTCCTAGGGATCCATCCTGTCTTCCTGCTCTTCTCCCTCTTGGCCCGGCTTGGAGGGCTGGAGGACTGCTCCACCCCCAGCCCCGGCCTCTTCCTGGCTCAGGACCCACCCCATTCCCGGGGCTGGAGGTTGGCTCCACTGACAGCCCCTCGTTACCTGTGATCCCAGATTCCCCTGGGGCTCAGCAACGCGGTCTGCGTCCGGGTGGGGATGGCCCTGGGAGCCGCAGATACTGCCCAAGCTAAGCGGTCAGCCATCTCAGGCATGCTCTGCACAGGTGGGTAGAGTCCTCTGGGCATGGGGGGAGGGTCTTGGAAAGTTAGAGCCGGGGGCAGGGGAGAAACCAGCCCGAAGGGGGGGCGGTGGGGGGGGGTCCGGAGCAGCCCCTGCTGAGTTGACACAGCCTTTGCACCCCTTACCTTAGTGTGATCTTGTGAAGTCTTCCTTCCCAGGCTTCTCCCTCCAGCTCTCCAGGGTCCTATTGCAAATTTGCCCTCGCATTATCTCCCCTGCCCACGGAGCTTGGGGCCTGCGCATCCCCCATCCCCCCACCCTGGGATGAACCAAACTTGTGTCCTCCTCCGTGGCTCTGCTTTCTGAGGCTGCCCGATCCAGATCAGCTCAGCTGTGGAGAGCAGCAGTTCCCAGGCTTTAGGCTGCATTAGAATCAGCCAGAGGGCTGTGTCAATACACAGAGCCCCGGACCTTCCCCCACAGAGTTTCCGATTCAGGAGGTCTGAGACGGGGGTCCGAGAACCTGCACTGTTACCAAGTTACCATGTGATGCTGGTGCTGCTGGTCCAGGAACCCCACTTCGCGAACCAGAGGAGGAAAGGCATTCCCTCCGTTGTCCTGCCTTGCGCTGACCTCAGCGGGGCTCCTCGGAGGGTCGGGGTGGGGGGTGGGGGTGGGAGTGCAAATGCTCTTCCTTTTGTCTCTTCCAGTTGGTACCTCGCTGGTTGTGGGCATGCTGTTGAGCATCCTGAAAAACAAACTGGGGCATATTTTTACTAATGATGAGTAGGTAATCAGTTCTCTTCACTGACCTCTGGGACGTGTCAGAGTGGCTGGCGGCTGGTCCTCAGCAGCTTGTCACATGGCTGGCTAGCTTGGCACTAGGTCCGGAGGAAGTGGGGACTAGCCCCGACTTTGCCCTCCCTGGGAGGAAGCTAGCTAGCAGATGTCTCTGCTGCTTTCCCCGGACCGCAGCCTCCATCACTTGCTGGGACAGGATGCTGAGCGAAAGGCGGTAGGATATTGGGGGGCTCTTCTGGAGCTTAAGAAGACCCACAGACATGCAGAAACTCAGGGCTAGGAATGTCAAGTCCGTGCGGGGCCACTACCTCTATTCCGACCCTTTATAGGAGGTGGTGGAACAGAGGGGAGATACGTGAGTCTCAAGGACACGGTCATGCCTCAGATGTCCACACGAATGTTCTTCCCTGTCTCTCCTGCAGAGAAGTCATTGCCCTGGTGAACAAGGTCCTGCCGATTTATATAGTCTTTCAGCTCTTTGAGGCCGTCTGTGTGAGTACTGCCCTGGTGGGAAGCCTGACCCCCCCAGTCCGAGTCCATGTTCATGGGCGCTCCCTGAGGCCTCCATGGGTTGTGAGGCTTAACTCATTAACATATGTAAAGGGCTAACTGTATATTGTAAGTGCCCAAAGTCTTCGCTTGGATTAATTCTATTATTACTCAAAACAATAATTCCCTTTCCCTTCTGCAATTCTGCAATTCGAACAAGCCAAAAGATGAATGCAGATTAGCAAAAAACGGAAAGATTGCATCAGTATAAACTCCCGCACCCTGTTACCCGAGCAAAGGGACCTGCGAGGGAGGGAGTCATCCCAGAGTACAGAGGGACCGGAGTTTTCTGAATCTCTGACCCCTACAAGACAGGTCCCATTTAGTGCAGATCTGAATGATGTGAATTTTAAAGAGCATCACATAAAACGAAAAGAAAAGAAAAAATACTAACGGCTCCTTTTAGAAGCGGAGTTTGGAACCCTGTGTCTTCTCCTTCACATCTTGAGGTCGGCAGGAATGCGTCCCTTGCCTAACAGGCAACAGCTCTGCCTGGGAGTGTGGGCTTTGAGAGCTCCACAGAGCACCTGCCCTCTGGGCTGGTCCTGCCCTGGGGAAAATCACCTGTACAATAACTATTCACCAGTATGAAAAAAAAATTTTTTTCTCAATGAAGGATTTTTCTAAAAGACAGTGCACTCTGTCCAGATTGCTACATATTCTAGAATTTACTTTCGACTCAAGCAGGCATGCACGAAGCTTAGAGCACCTGCTCAGCCTTCCGCAGAACTGCCTCCTTTGGACTGGGCTTCGTGATGATATCCTAATGTTATCACAGAACATTAAAAGAAACCATCCTATGGAATCTATTATGGCTTTTGTCGTAGGATGGGGTCAAGGACACTTTTTTTTTTTTTTTGCCACAGCTGAGAAATTCTTCTTGCAGTTAAGGGTTGGGAATAGGAATTCCTCGAGGAGTTAATTCACACATGAGTCTCCGTGTGGATGTCTGTTTTCATCACTCTTGGTAGAGTCCCGCGCGTTCAATTGTTGGAAGTGTATGTTTAACTTCCTAAGAAACTGCCAGACTCTTTTCCTCGGGGGCTGTACCATTTTACGTGCCCACTGGCGATCTGTGAGGGTTCCAGTCTTTCTACTCCCTTGCTAATTCTTGGTATTGTCTTTTGAAACAAAAACTAGATTTTTGTTTCAAAACTTTTGTTTCAAAAAGTAGATTTTAAAGAGCAGTCTTAGGTTTACAGAAGGAAATCGAGTTCCCATAAACCTCCTCCCTCAGTTTCCCTTATCATTTCACGTCTTATTAGTAGTTATTAATTATGTACGAGTGAGTGTGGCACACTTGTTGACCTGATGAGGGAATATTGATATGTTATTAACTAAAGTCCACAGTTCATTGTTGGGGGTCACTGGTGGTGTTGTAGAGTCTATGGGTTTTGACAAATATAGAAGGACACGGACCCACCATGATAGTATCATACGAGTAATTTCACTGTCATAAAAATCCTTGTGGCTCCTATTCACTACCCCCCCCGCCCCCGCATTCTCCCTACTGGCGTTTTGAAAGGAATTGTGTTGAATCTACAGGGTCGTTTGGGGACAACTGTCATCTTAACAATATTGGGGCCTCCAATCCATGGACACGGAGTGTCTCTCCCATTATTTAGACGTTCTTTATCCAACAACGTTTTGTTGTCTCTGGTGGACACATCCGGCACTATTTTTGTGAAATTTATCCCCAAGTATTTTGGAGGTTTTTTTTTGGATGCACTTGTGAATGGAACTGGTGTCTTAATTTCATTTTTAGTTCATTGATGCTAGCCCCTGGAAATAGAACTGATCTTTGTTTATCGATCTTTTATCCTGTGACTTTGTTAATCTCATTCAAGTAGTTTTGTGTGTGGGGGGGTATTCCTTTAAGATGTTCATATAGGATCAGGTCATTTGTGAATCAAGAGTTTTACTTCCCCCTTTTCATGTGGCTAGAACTCGACTCCAGTATGATGTTGGATACACACGGAGCGTAATCTATGCCTTGTTCCCAACGTTAGGGCAAGAGTGTTCAGTCTTTCAGCATGGAGTGTTATCTGTAGGATTTTTATAAATGCCCTTCATCAGGCTGAGGAAGAGCCCTTCTACTCGTAGTCTGTTAAAACGTTTTCTTGAGAACGGCGTTGGATTTTCTAGAATGCCTTTTTTGCGTCTGTTGAGATTATCAAGTGGCTTTGGTCCCTTATTCTATCAATACGAATCACATTAATTGATTTTCAAATGTCATACCTTGCATTCCTGTGATAAGGCCCTCCTGACCATGGTATAGATCTTGTTTATCTATTGCTGAATTTGGCTTGCTAACATTTTGCTCAAGATTTTGGTCTACATTCATGAAGGATATTCATCTGCTAACTTGTATCTTTGTGGTATCTTGATCTGCCTTTGGTGTCAGGGTAACACCGGCCTCACAGAATGATTCTGAAAGTGTCCTCTCCTCCTAGGCTTTCTGAGTTTGGGAAGGATTGGCATTATATCTTCTTTAAATATTTAAGCTCATCTGGGCCTGAGCTTTGGTCAGAAAATTTTTTGATTAATTCCATTTATTTACTTGTTACAGGTCTCTTCACTTTCTATTTCTTGCTGAGTTCCTTTCAGCAATGTGTGTCTTTCTAGTCCTTTATTCATTTCAACTAAATTTGTCTAATTCTTTGGCACGAAGTTGCTCGCCATATTTCCTTATCATCCTTCCCCCTGTGGTCAGTGGTTATGTCCCGTGTTTCATGCCTGATTTTGGTGATTCGTGTTTTCACTTTCTTATTTTCTTAGTCTTATTTTACCAAGGCCAACTCCTTGGCAAGCGTTTGGCAGTGTTGTGGATCTTCTCAAAGACCTAGAATTTGGGGTTTCATCGATTTTTGGTTGTTTTTCTGTTGTCTGTTTCAGTGATTTCCACTCTCATCATCATTATTCCCATTCTCCTGCATTATTTCAATACGGTTTGCCCTTACTCGTTTCTTAGGATGGAATATTAGGCTATTGATTTGCGTGAGGCCTTTCTGCTTTTTGGATCTAGGCATTTAAAGCTATACATTTCTAAGCACTGCGTTAGTGGCATCTAATACATTTGATATGCTGTTTTACTTTGCATTCAAAATATTTTACAATTTCTCCTGTTTTTATTCTTTGACCCATAGGTTTAGAAGTGTGTTAACTTCCCCCAAAAAAAAAAAAATACATAGAAGTGTGTTAATTTCCAATATTGGGGGTCTTCCCAGATTTCTTTTTGTCAGTGTCTCTAACTGAATTCTGTTGTATGCTCTGGCGCAGACCCATCCCGGAGAATGTCTTGTGTGTGACCTTCCCCCAAGGCCTGTTGTTTTATTTGGTAACTTGCCTGCACTGCTTCTGTGAATCCTGCCTCCTCTACAACCTGTAGGTGTTCTCACCACTCAGTTTGGTTTTCTGTTTTGTTTTTTTTTTCCTCCCTTTAATTTTAGGCTTAGCTTCCTGGAGTGGGGGGCGGGGCGCACTGGCCCTTCTTGGTGTGCTGGTCACTGGAGACTGTCCCTGTCATTCAAAATGCTCTAAAGGGCTTCACAATCTTGGCACCGTAACATTTCAGGATGGACAATTCCTTGTTAAGGGGGCTGCTAAAGGAGGTTGAGCAGCATCCCTGGTCTCAACCCACTAGGTACCAGTCGGCATCTCCCCAGACCATCTCCAGACATTGCCAAATGTCCCCTGGAGGACGAAATTGAGAAATACTTGTCCAGAGCGCATCAATCATCATTGGGGAGGAGTCTTTTTCTAACCAAAAAAATACCTTCTATGTCACCGATAGATACATGAGTAACCTACCCGCCACATTTCCAAGTTCAAGAGGCACACATCTCCCCTCCCGCACGCAGTGCCTCTTTGCTCAAAAGTGTGAAAGCAAATCACAAAATCCTCCACGTCCTTCATCTTAAGGAAAGAAAAAGAACCAAGCGTCTCTGCATCAGCAGCGCTGATGAAACAGAACTGTGGCTGTAGTTCTTTCATTCACTAGGTCGGAGATCAGGTTGGGAGGATGAGCCTAGTAAAATCAAGCAGAGTTAGTATTTTCTCCAGTAGTTCTTGTCTGTGAGCATTACAGGGACAGCAGCGAGCTAGGGCTGCAGGTCTGGAACAGACAACACCTTTGCTCGCCCCGTGCGGAATCCAGAATCGGGGCCCCCAAAGATATCTATCCACATCTGAATCCCCAGACCTGTGGCTGTCAGGTGGCAGGAGGGCATTTTGCAGATGGGATTAAGTGAAGGATCTTGAGCTGGGGCAGATTTTCTTGGATTATCCAGAAGACCCGATATATAACCACTAAGGGTTCTCATAAGCAGGAGAGGGAGGCGGAGAGACAGAAGGAAGGCACCAAGCCAGCAGCAGAGGCTGGGCTGATGTCACTGCTGTCTGAGGGCTGGGAGCCAAGGAATGCAGGGCAGCCAAAGAAACAGATTCTCCCCTCGGCCTCCAGAAGGAACCCGCCCTGCCTTTAGCGCAGCGATTTTCTAGATTTTCTAGAGAGGCGGTCATGATGTGGAAGTGAAGAGAAGGGGCCCTGGAGTGGTGTCCAGAACACAGTGCTACTTCGGAGCAACTGTGGGCAAGTGACTTGCCCTGACTCGGTCTCCCCACGGAAGGGGACGAGAGCACGGTCCCGGGGCTGAGTGAGAGGAGGCCTCGCGACAGGAGTGGCCGTCGGTCTCGCGCCCACCTCTTGCCCCTCTCTGCGCCCCCCGCAGTGCGTCTACGGTGGAGTCCTGAGAGGGACCGGCAAGCAGGCCTTCGGAGCCATTGTGAATGCAGTCATGTACTATGTCGTCGGCCTCCCTCTGGGCATCGTTCTGACCTTTGTAGTCAGAATGAGAATCATGGGTAAGTGTCACAAGAGGAAGGCGGAACAGGCCTGGGGGCCCTCGGACACCCTGGCCCCACTGCTGCATGTCCCCTGCAGGCCTCTGGCTGGGCATGCTGGCTTGTGGCCTCCTGGTCACTGCTGCCTTTGCGGTCTACACCGGCCGGATGGACTGGAAGCTCGCTGCAGAGGAGGTGAGCGAGAGGTGGGCCCTGGCCTGGCCAAGCGTGCAGAGTGACTGCTCCCCGGCAGCGCTCGGGGCACGTCAGGCCTCGGCAGCAGCGAACTGCGGGATAGGCTGAGGGTACGGGGGGCATGGCCCCCCATCTGCTCCCGGCGCTATAGCGGGACCCCGGATGGTGCCAGTATACTCTCCAATTACAAGGAGGAGCACACACACACCACAACCCCTCCTTAGCCAGCCCAAGCTGCTGGAAACCCAGACAAAAGCCAACAGCTCAAACAGGGCTGAACCCAGACACGTCCCTGAAGCGTGTGGCCCGAGCCGAAGGCGGACGTGTAACCGACTGAGCCACCCAGGCGCCCTCAGCCTACAGTGTGTTAAGGCAGGGTGCTGGCGAGGCCGGTGGTGAGCGGGAGGGCCGACTGGCTGACCCAGGCGAGCTGTCGCTCTTGTAGGCTCAGAAACATGCGGGGTTGCTGCCGCAGAGCCCCGATGGCACGGTGAGCGCGGTGACCGCAGGGACCTCGGCGACCTCGGCCCCACGCCCCGGGCCTGCGAAAGCTGTCACCTCTTCAGGTAACGCTGTCCTGGTGCTTCTGCTGGGCACACACCATGCCGGGGGGCACATTGCTCCTGGCGGCCTTGCGTCAGGGCCTGGGTCGAGTGGGAACCGTGTAAGCCACCGTTCCTCCTCTTGGCTCGGACGCGCCGTCCTAAGTACCAGGAAGGCGACGTTACTACCTCTGATTTAACGGGCCCTGCCCCAAGTACTTCACATCCTTGACCTCACGAGGTCGCGACTATAGTCCCATTCTCAGATGAGGAAGGCAGGCTGAGAGCTAAGGTCTCTTCCCCATGGTCCCGCTACTGGAAAAGGGGAGAAGATCCTTGCAGGGACCCGTTCTCCTCTCTGAAGGCCACGTCCTGCCCATGGGCGGGCACCCCTGGTTTATATCCAGGGTGTCTGTGATGAAGTGATGGCCCAGGCGGGCGTGGAACGCGGGGCGTGCGTGTACACAGCCCAGAGGCCTCACTTACCTCGGTGAGCTCATCGCATCCTGGGCTCTGCCTTCAGTAGGGAGCTACGGACTAAGCTCAGGGAGCTCAGAGTGTCGCGAGAGACCACGGTAAGGTCCGACTAAGCATTTAACGCGCTCTGAAGACACATGTGAACGTCCCACTCACCAGGTCATCACAAGGACAGGCTCGGAGAGGAACCCCTGTAATGTCATCTTAGTAGTAGCTCTATGCATTGAACTCACATCGCGAGGTTTTCCCACATCATTTCCTCCTCTGATCCTGCTGCGGAGTAGATGAGGCTCCTTCTCCTGTGCAGGCATTTTCTAGTGTAAGGCACAGAGGCGGATTCTTAACCGTCACCCCGCATAACACATGCAGCTGGGCTTCTTGATTCAAGGCCAAAGCTCTCCCCCAGCCCCCCAGCCCTCCAGCCCCCCAGCCCTGCTGAGTTGGCTCCTGTTTGTCTCCGCAGTGGCCACGGGTAACTCCCCAGGCATCACCCTGACGACGTATTCAAGGCCCGAGTGCCACCTGGACCTCATCAGGACCCCAGAAGCAACCCATGCCCCGTCGGCCCCGGCCAGCCCCCTGTCAGCAAAACAGCTGCTCATCCGCCGTGGGGCTGCTCTGGGGGTGGTGTCAGCCATGCTGATGGTGGGCCTGGTCATCAGGTTCCTGACCACCAGACACTAGCCACGCAGCTCGGAACCAGAAAGGGAGCCAAGAGTGGCTGCCCCCACCTGCCCACACCTGCCTACAACAGCACGCACGGGATCCAGGGTGGGGGGACACCTTGGTGCCCACCTCCGAGAACAACCTGCAGCCAGCGCCTCGTGTGACCAGTGTCAAACTGGTGTGTCAAACTGGCTTTCTCCCCTCTGCTCTTTAAGATGCCATCCGCCGACCGAAGAGACAGAGTCCTGGGACTGCTGCTAGGCGGGAGTCAGTGGTGTACATGGCTTCAAATCGGGAGACTTCAAAGCACGATCACAAAACTCACTGTCACCCAGTTAAAAATTCCATTTTCTCCCAGGAGACTCTGGGGCCCGGGTCTGTTCACAAAGCCTTTGTGAAGTCCCTGCCCCACGCGCCCCTGTAGATCTGGGCACCGTGAAACCCTGACGAGGCAGGTGGCCGTCCACAGACCCTCCTTTGCCTTTGCCTTTCCGCTAACCCTTCGTTCCGTCAGCATCCTGCTGATCACAGACCTTGAGAAACACTGGTTCTTACAGCAGGGATGGGGTAGAAGCAAGGGCAGCTGAACCCAGATGGCCGGGCCGCACAGCCTCAGGATGGAAGGCAATGCCGACCCAAATTCTCGGACACTTCTCCTGAAGGCCTGGGACTGCTGAACGTTTTCAGGCTCCGTGCCTCCAAAGTGGAGGGCGGTCTGGCCTCCCCTGCCACACACAGTCCCTTCGGCATCAGTAGCTATAAACGCCTCACAAACAAAATGAATTTATTGATCAGAACCAATAGAAACAAAAGGAAGCACAGAATGTAATCCCGGTTTGAAAGAGTCAATGTGAATTCATGTCGAGGACCTGGTAACACTCCGGGCCTCCCACTCCCTGGAAGGCGGAGATCCTCCTTGTCTGGGACACACCTTAGTGAGCTGTTGGCAACCCAACAAAACGACTGGGAACCAAGCACAGAAAAGTAATGTTTCCCCAAATGTGTTCTAAGGTTACAAAGTCTTCAGAGCAAAGGGTTCCCTGGTCAAGTAAGTTTGGAAAACCACCCACACCAGCCTGCAAACGTTCTATAGGCCTGGAGTCCTGAAATATGCTGCTGTGCTTTACAAATCCCGGTGGACAGGGTGGGTGGTGGGATCAAATTTTGTGTAAAACCTTATGGGATTAATGTTCTGGGAAGAGGCTTACGGGAATGCTTGTTTTAGATTAGCAAATGGGGATAGGAGGATAGAGTTGGGAAAAACCTCTTTACTATACACATATTTTAAAAAAATAAAACCCCACGGGGGCGCCTGGGTGGCTCAGTCGGTTAAGCGTCTGACTCTTGATTTTGGCTCAGGTCATGATCTCAGGGTCGTGAGATCAAGCCTCGCATCAGCGCTGTGCTCCACATGGAGTCTGCTGGAGAATCTCTTTCTTCCACTGTCTGCCCCTCCTCCCACCCGTCTCTCTCTCCCTCCCTTAAAAAAAAAAAAACAAAAACCCACAAATGATAGAAAGTAAAGCCTGAGAAATTCTTGGCTAAGAATTTAAGTGAGAAAGCAGGACTTAAAGTGGATAAATACCAGCTGTGATAGATAAAGGCAAAAAATGGATTTATAGTTGGGGGAAAACTTATGGCCAAAGAATTGTCTTCGAGACAACAGGGCATGAGGGGTTCCACGCTACGAATGTCATTCTTAAACTTCATGCCAGTTTTAGCAAATATAATGTATTTATTTTGAAACAGGATTTACAAATAGACAAGTCAGTAATTTAGTTGAACTAGAAATTAGAACGTACAGTATGCTAAATGAAAATTCCACATGGAAATTCTGTCTAAGATACTTTATGACCGATTATCCTGATGGACTAGCCTAGTGATGAAGTCTTGACACCTCATCCTGGGATGAAGATCGCACACTCAACCTTCCTGGAAGAGATTCACGCAACCAAGCCGATTATACATTCTCTTGTTGCGCAGAGGCGGGGAGGGTCACCTGCAGCCAAGAGTTACCACGGCAGGGCAGGGAGGCTGCACTCCACTGGGTTCTGTCCCGCTGGGTCTCAGGTCTCGGCCGTGCTCAGGAGGGATCCCCTTCCTATGCCCTCCATCCCCTTCAACACGGCCGCCTGCTGTGGCTTACAGAGTCCTTCTCCTCCAAACGATCCACCATGCGCCCCCTGAGGCTCTCCAGCTCCAAAGTTCTGAATATCCGAGGCCTCTTGGTCACAACAGGCAATGGCTTTCCGCGTTGGGTCCTGAAGGCTGCACTTATTCAGAAAAGGAGCTCTCTAAAGTGTAGCAAAGTGAAATTTAAGTGCATTGCGCTACAGACATAAGAAACTTAAAGATCCGTCCTTGAAGATCTACTCACTTGAAACTTAAGATCCTGAGAGAGAATAAGTATTGTTATAAGTCATTTTATTACAGCATAAAAACACGCCCGTTAGGGTTTATGAGATGCGGAATCCTACAACTCCTACACAGGAAGAATGACAGAGGATACTTGCGTGAAATTGGCAACTTGTCTCCCCAGACGTGCCCTGGGACGGACAAGATGGTTTACGTGGTATTAATTGCAGAAGGCATTTCTGGACAGCCACAAGAGACTGTCCCAAACCAAACATGAGAGAGGGTGGAGAATGGTTGAGAAAGGAGGAAGCCCACTGGTCCGACGGTACATCTGACAGGAGGGTTGACTCCTGGAAGTCAAGTCCTCGTGTCCCAATGGGTGAGGGACAGGGACCCTCCCCTGCCAACCCCATATACAGTTCTAGTGCCTCAAACCTCAAGCAGAGCTGGAAAGGTCTAGCCTCACCTCTCTGGATGCAGATGGTTTCGGATAACCCTGGGCAGGGAGAGGCCCCTGACGGACGGCATCACAGCAAGATGGTGGAAGGCAGCAGGGGTGGGGGCGGGGTGTCCTGTGTCCCATGAACTGGAGTGAAGAAGTCACTCAACAGGTTCGGAGACTCCCTGACATCTCCCAAGGAGTCCAGGTTTAGCCTATCATATGCTCCTCCCTTAGACTCAGGCTCTAAGGTCTGGGTGACACAATGTAAAATGGGTTCTCCGAGTCCCCCCCACTGTGGGGGGGAAGGCTGGGGTTTGGCTGAGATGGCAAGTTTTATCCCTGGGGAGTGGCAATGACTTTGAGAGTTGATTATGGTGCATTTGCATATTTCCCTACTATTTTGGGTAGGATTTTAAAACGACTGGTTCATTAGCTATTTAATAGAGCAATAATTCAGTAGCTGCAACCAGGAGATTGAACAGGATCTTTCTTCAGTAGTATCCAGCCTAGAGAGAGGAGAAAGGGATCCAGGTTACTCTGCTGGTGTAAGACCCCACCCGACCAGCCCCAGAATAGGAACTCCGTACCGGGACTCAACCAAATGCCTCCTATTTTCAGAGACGCAAAAGGCGCTGTATAACAAAAAGGTCCCCGTCTCCCTAAGAAGTTAAGTGCAGTTTGGGCTGAGGATAAAAGACTGTGCCCTCCCGTGCAAAGCAACCGTAACAAGACAGGGAGTGGTGATGAGGTGGCGTTCGGTCTCATGTCAATGAGACAACATCAGCGCTTGAGCCAGGAATGGAAAATGTTCATTACCTATCCTCCAGTTGAGTGGGAGGCTGAACTCTTGACATGAAATCTGAAAACTCAGAGTTCTAATGGCACACTCAATTCTCGAAGGCCTTGTGACATCTCTCGATTGTAACCCTTTATCTTTCTCAACTTTTTAAAACCTGCCCCACCTACCATGCTTTCTGTGGCTCATATTACACTTTGCTAGAACTTTACCTTGCGTGGATGTGTATACACATGTACACACAGATGTTTTTTTAAATGCATATAGAAAATTCCTCTCCACTCTGTGATTCTGACACGCTCCCTTTAAAGTGATCGTCGCTGCTTTCAATTTCCCGTTTAGAAATGTTCCAAGCCCAGGGGCGCCTGGGTGGCTCAGATGGTTAAGCATCTGCCTTCGGCTCAGGTCATGATCCCAGGGTCCTGGGATCGAGGCCCGCATCGGGCTCCCTGCTCCTTGGGAGCCTGCTTCTCCCTCTGCCTCTCTCTCTCTCTCTCTCTCTCTCTCTCTGTGTCTCATGAATAAATAAATAAAATCTTTAAAAAAAAAAAAAAAAAAAAAAAAAAAAAGAAATGTTCCAAGCCCATTCTCGTTCTAGTGAAGTGAATTAATGAAATCGCAACCCAGCACATAACAAAATAACTACTAAGTGCAGAAAAGCCATTTCAGAAAAATGATTGCAGTCCCGATAAAGACTCCTCAAATAAAGGCACCACGTGGGCTCAGAGTCACTTCTTTATTTTTTTTTTTTTAAAGATTTTATTTATGTGACAGAGAGAGACACAAAGAGAGAGGGAACACAAGCAGGGGGAGTGGGAGAGGGAGAAGCAGGCTTCCCACAGAGCAGGGAGCCTGATGCGGGGCTCGATCCCAGGACCCTGGGATCCTGACCTGAGCCGAAGGCAGACGCTTAACGACTGAGCCACCCAGGCGCCCCTCAGAGTCACTTCTTTAAAATAAAAGGTGATTTGGGCACCTGGGTGGCTCAGTTGGTTGGGCAACTGCTCAGGTCATGATCCCGGGGCCCCAGGATCAAGTTCTGCATCGGGCTCCCTGCTCACCAGGGAGTCTGCTTCTCCCCTGATCCTCGCCCCTCTAGTGCTCGCTCTCTCAAGTAAATAAATAAAATCTTAAAAAAATAAAATGTGATTTGCCAGAAAGAAAACAAGCTCAGAGATGAGCAGAGAGGCAGCAAAGAGGAAAAGAAAACCAAATCCTCGCTGGTCCCACACGGAATCCAAAAAGGTCCAAACCACTAACACATCCGCTCATAGTGAGAACCGAGGTTTCCCCACTGAGAGACCGTGGCTCGCGGCCCCCATTCCATGGATGAGCAGGCCAAGGCCAAAGGGCGGGCTCAGAAAAGGCCTTGCTCAGAGTCGGAATTGGGTTGATCTCGGAGCCGGGGATCAAAGCCACATTTTCCTGTTCCCAAGCTACCTGTTTTTACCATGAGGATCAGACCACTGGACAGCTCGGAACACCGCAAGCGAGTTCTGCAGGGTTTTAACCTTTGGGTTTTGTTTTGTTTTAGATTTAGCCCATGAGGGGCTCGATCCCACGGATCCCATGACCCTGAGATCATGGCCTGAGCCACCCAGGCGCCCCGGGGTCTTAAAACTCTTACACCAGAGGTCGGCACACTTCTTCTGTGATCATTTAGGCTCTGGGGGCCGCACGACCACTGTGGCAAATACGCAACTCTTGCTACACTAAGTCAGCAGGGGATTTTGTCTGTCCCCCAGGAAGTCGGGGCAGGCTGCGTTCACCGACCCTGCCCTAGACTCGGGAAGTTAACATGAGAGACAGAGTTCATCTCTAAAGGTAGAGGAGCTCCCACGACACAAGAGGACCATCTGACAGCCCTTCAGGCGGGACCAGAAAGGAACTCACCTTGACCAGCACGGCCGCCACCACGCCCAGGAAAGCCAGGAATAGCAGAGCGAGTTTTCCTTTGTTGAAGCGCTTCAGGAGGAAAAATTTTGCCCAATCCACCTTTGACTGGCTGTTGGGAGGATACCTGAGCTTGTTAGCACCTTCCCTCTTTAAACTTTTTAGTAGACAGGGACGTTGATGAGAGAAGGTATCGAAACTGTATTTGCCGTGATAAGCTCCCATGCCGCTAGAACCTGGAACAGAGAGAACAGACAACACTGACTCCAGTGTAGGTGACACAAGCTACCTGTCTGTGTGAACCCCGACAGAGGAAACCCCCAGCACTCCCTGCCGCCCCCATCTCACTTCTCAGTGCAAGGGGCTCTTTCAGGAAATTCCTCCCCACGTTCACCAGCAAGCTGATCTCCCTGCCAAACAGGGCGCTCTCCAAGGGTCCAGCGAGGACTTGTGGCTCTCCGGGCCAGCAGCTCTCACCGGGACCAAGGTCCCTGCTCTGCGTTCTCTAAATCCATTCTCGCCACAACCCCCCTGTATAAAGGCGTCAGTGCTCCCGATCCCAGAGAGGGTGAGGGAGCTTGGCAGGGTCAGGCAACCTGCCCAAGGTGGAAAATGCAAAGCCAGAATGCGAATCCAGGTCGGCCGGACTCTTAACTATCGTGTGCTCTTCTCCTGCTGTTCCATGTGGCTTTATCCATAGCCCTCTTCACCCACTTGCTTCCTCTAAGCTCCTAGAGAGCAACAACAGAGTCAGGATGACAGGGTTACTCCACTGGGTGATAGTGAGCCAGTGGAAGTTCCTGCCCTCTTAAAAAGCCATGCTCCAGGACAGTCTTCTTTATTATGGGTACTGGGGAGATACGCCGCACAGACGAACGGGGCCAGGAAGGCACTTACTGGTGCTTTATGGGGCTGCTGGTACATCATTCAGAGACAACTGAAGCTATGGGGAAATTTAGCAATATGCATCAAAAGGTAAGCATTTTTAAGGAAAAATCGAAACTATATGTCAACACGTTAACAGTGTTTATGCCTGGGAGAGTATTCGTTTCGTCCTTACAGGTGTCTCCAGTGTTCTGTTGTTGCTCTTTTCCCCAAAAAACCTCTTATCGCTTTTAGAAACAGGCGGCAAAAAGCATTTCACTTTAAAAAAAAAATAGCTCTAAGCCTTTTTAAGACAGCAATGACACTTCGAGACATTCTTCCTATGGAAAAAAAATCAGAAATTGCACAAAACCGCTTTAGAATCCTAATACCGAAAAATCTGGAATCACAAAAACCTAAAGCCAGGAATTAAACGCAAACAGGCCCCATCCTTAGGACAGAGCAGTACGCGGTTACTGAAATCATGACACACGACCATGCTGACGTGGGAAAACATCACACTGTCGTCTCACACATGGGGTGAAAAACAATCTACAATAGGATACAATTTTGAACAAAATCTTATGTATATGTATGTAAAGAAAAGAATTTCAAGGACGTATACCAGAGCCTGGACTCCTTCTGCATTTAGCGGGGGGAAGGTTTTGTTATAAAAAGGAGGGTGCTAAAGGCTATCTAGTCAAGCAAAATAGGGACTGAACACAAGTCACTCGACTTGCACTCAGGAGGTACCAGAGACACGTGGAGCAGTGAGTCTTTGGTAGGAGCCAGGATCCTGGGGGGCACTGAGGTACAGGACACTGGAGTCTCACCGAATCCCTTCAGCATCCGGGCAGTGAGGAACAGTAGCCCCCATCCTGTAAGCTCTCGTTGCTTTTGTTCACCGCCCCTCCCTCCACAACACGCGCAATCCATCAGCTTGACCCCCCAAAACATCCAGCCCCTTTCCACCAGCTCCCCTGCAACCATGCGAGTCCAAGCCCCCACTAGCTCCAGGCTGGGCCCCCGACCGGCCTCTCACTACACGCCCCTCATGTGCGCCAGGCACGGTGCTGGGTGCTGGCCATCCCCTTACGTCCCAGAACGCGACACGGGGCATGCTGGGAAGCAGGCCGTGTTCTCTGGGCCTCGGGGTGAGCCGGCCCGGATCAGAAACAGGTAGTCCTGTTAAAATGAGCCACTTCATTCCCATGGACTCATTATGCGATCACAGAGAGAGAGAACAGAGCAGGAGCTTTTAAGACAGGGGTTTTTATTGCTTTTTACTCTAAGAATTGCTCCACGTTCATTATTTGTGATACTTCTAATGAGATATTAGAGAAGCCGACCACCTAGCTCCTGAACGAAAAATAAGAGTAGAGCCAGTCGTCTCGAGTGTAAAGAGTCAGGCCGGTCACGGCCCAAAGGGAAAGCAGGGACCTGGCTGTGTCCATGGAGCTTCTCCGAATTTCTGTGCGTCCTCTAGAACACGGGGAGTCTCTTGCTCTCTTCTCAAATCGGGCGATAACTTGAGGAGAGGCTATGCCCCACACAGAGGGCTGGGGGCCCCTGGGGGTGGACACGGAGGATGACATCGCCCCACCGTGAGCAGACAGCAAGGGGGCCTCAGAAACCCCGACGGCCGCCTGCTCTGGGCGTTCTGCACCCGGCATTCGCTACCTCACTTTGAAAAAGACAGAGGGACCTTATCTATGAATCTGAGACCTGGCTTTTGCCCCGCCCCAAAAGTCCCCTTCTTCTAAGAGAAGAATAATAACCAAGCTAATAACCAATAAAAAGTAAACCAATGAAAGGAACAAAGCCAATTACAGGCTGTGCTGGGGGGCTACTAAAGACGGGAGGGGTGACAGGACAGAGTCAGCCCTCGGCCGGAGGGCCTGGCAGGGTGGCGGGAAGGCACCTCCCAACGGGGTGGCCAGATGATCTGAGCCACCGTGCGACTTTTGCAACAGGTGCCACATGCGGCACACAGGAGTACTCACCCACTCCTCCGAAGGGCAACGAGCTGAGGGTGAAGTGCATGATAACGTCGTTGGCGGTGACGCCGCCGCTGGACGTGCCGTCGATCATCCGTCGGACAAGCTGAGGAAGGGAACACGGGCTCCGGGTGAGTGACGCCCGTGGCGCAGGGAGGGGACGCACATGGACACGCACGGAGCCACATGCGTCAACACTTCGCAGCGCCATTGCACTTTGGCAAACGTGATCGTGTCTACGTGCCCTGACCCGTGTCTGGTCCTTCGAGGGGCACAGCACCGAACTGTCTGTTCTACCGCTGCGCACCCGAGACGGCCACAGAAGCCTCTGTCCGCGAGGGACGGCACAGACTACATTCTGGTTTTCACCCGTCGCTACCATTTCTCTGCCTCTCCCCTAAATGACGGCGCAGGATCGACAGATACCCTTTAGTGTGTAGGACCTGCCAAGAACATTTAAGTTTTCAGACTTAGTATTCTATTTGTTTTGAAGAAACGGCTGGCTGGAACGGGCACGAGGAACACCTGACCGGTAAATGACCGGTAAATGTCATTTCACCTCGCTGCCCACAAGCTCTCGGGAGTTCGAGTCATGAGCGTCACAGTGGACTGTGGTCACTGAAGGTGACCCCGTTGCTGGGCAGCGCGCCCCCACGGACTTGCACCCTGCCCAGGAGACTTCGGGCTTCCAGGTTCTCGTCCGCATCGCCTGCGGTCGTTTAAACTGTCTGACCACAGTTAATAACCCATTATTTACCAAGACCCACGCGTTCGGTGTCACTTCACAAAGCCGTACCTCCACAGCACGGCAGGCTCTAGAAGCTGTGCGTCACCATGGGAGGCTCTCCGCAAAACCTCTGGTGTGTGAACTCCTCAGACCTTGACGGGTCCCGCCTCCCTCTGGGTCTCCCATTTCTCCAGAGGGCTCCTGAGCCCACTTGCCCACCTCGAGGCCACTGTCCCTCAGAAACAGCCGGTCCCCTCACGAGCCGTGCAGCAGGGTGGGGGGACCGCTCACCCTGGTGTAATTATGGCGTCACACACTCACCTGGCTGGTATGGCCCCATTCCCTCTAACGACAAAGGAGCTAGAGAAAGCGAAGTGTGCCATTGCGGAACCACGTTCATGACCGTGCCACAGACCTCAGTCCCACGCAGCCCACCTGAGCACTGCAGATGCCACCGGGGTAAGAGGGAAGGCTCTCACACAGCAACGCCCTGGGGCTTAACGCCACAGAAGCTTCTACGGCTGGTAGGGAAGCCTTCCAATTATAGGGGAGATGTTTGCTGGTGCAAAAGTTCGTGACACAGCCCTGACGACTCAGGTCTGACCCCAGGGAGTATGGTAGGGGTGACAGCCGTAACTCCAGGGTCTCATTACCCAAGACAGCCATCTGTGAGCAGCGCCTCACTTGGTGGACTCTGTGACTCGACAAAATAGAACATCGTTTGCTTTGTGGCCAAGGAGGAACATGGTCTGTGATAGTGGCTCGTGCCGGGGAGTCATCCTCCGGAGCGTTTACCTTATCGTTGTGAGAAAAGATGTAGAAAGCCAGCGGCTTTTCACGGCTGTTTATGAATTTTATGGCTTCGTCGGCATTCTTCACGGGCACGATGGGAAGAACTGGCCCGAAAATTTCTTCTTGCATCACCTTGGCTTCAGGATCGACGTCAGTAAGGATTGTCGGGGCTGAAAAAGGAAGCAGCGAGGTGAAATCGTGAAGTCGAAGACAGGAATGCCAAGCTCTCACCGATCCATTCCCTTGCCGCTCTTGCCCAAGTATTAGCTATTGACAAAAATAAAAATAAAGTCCTGAGTCTGGACGTGGAGGAACCGTGCACTTCTGTCTCCAAGCTTGTGCATCAGGGGAATCCCCATGCAAACCGAGGGAAAGATACAGACACTTGAGAATATTCCTATCTAACCCGGTTCACACGGACCGGGCAGTTATGTTTCCGTCTTGCTGTGCACAGGTCCTTCTGGGGGAGCAGACAGCCCCTCTGTGGATCAAGTTAGCACTACTTCTTAACTCGCGTGCTTTCATGCGTAGGATCTCGTCGCCCTTTATTTCAACTGTTAGACGAGTTACGAACGGACTTCAAAGGTCAAGAGTCCCTGAGTTCAGGGGCACCTGGGTGGCTCAGTCATTAAACGTCTGCCTTCGGCTCAGGTCATGGTCCCAGGGTCCTGGGATCGAGCCCCACATAGGGTTCCCTGCTCAGCGGGAAGCCTGCTTCTCCCTCTCCCACGCCCCCTGCTTGTGCTCTGTGTCTGTCAAATAAATAAATAAAAAATCTTTAAAAAAAAAAAAAAGAGGGGCGCCTGGGTGGCTCAGTTGGTTAAGCAGCTGCCTTCAGCTCAGGTCATGATCCCAGGGTCCTGGGATCGAGCCCCACGTCAGGCTCCCTGCTCAGCGGGGAGCCTGCTTCTCCCTCTCCCTCTGCCTGCCTCTCTGCCTACTTGTGCTCTCTCTCTGTCAAATAAATAAAATTTAAAAAAAAAAAAAAAAAAAAGAGTCCCTGAGTTCAGAGTTCCAGCCACTATGGGGAAGGCGCACGAGAAAGGAGGACATCATGGATGCTGACAAAAACTTTGCAGAGCGTCCAGGCGTCCGTGCCAGGCCAGGCACCAAATAGGAACACTCCGCAAGACCCCGTAAACAAGCCGGGTCTTCAACTAAAACAGAAGACACCTGCCAATAACAAGGTTGCTCTCTTCCTTTCCCCCGCGTTTCCTACTGGGTCCTCCTGGCAACATGGCAGAAGACAGCTCTCGCCAGCACCCCAAGGGGTGCTGTCTCTGCTGTCACCCCAAAGCCACCGCCCACTGCTTCCCAGGCTCAGAGAACTGTTCCGTGTGGGTGTCTACTGCCCACGGAGCCGTGCGCTCAGGTAAGCTAACCTGGACTCCAGGTCAGGGGGAGGTGCCTAACTGGTTGAGCTAATTGCAACAGACCTTTCCTCTTGCCGCTGATGAGCCGAGGAGTGGGCAAAGTCAATGGCTGATGGGAAAACAGAAGGATGAAAAATTGGGGGTTTGGAGGCCATTACTGATGAGAGAGAATACATTCTTCCTCACTGTTTGAAGTCCTTTATGGTTTTAGGTTTTTTGAAGCCGGGTTTTTTGGGAATGTGCAGCATCCCATCTGATAAGAGGGGCTAAGTAAAGTCATTTGGGGCAGCTCTTCTGCCAAATAAATGTGTCTGTTATTCCTCTGTCACTTTATGTTATTTTAGAACAACGTGTTCGGGGCGCCTGGGTGGCTCAGTCAGTTAAGCGTCTGCCTTCGGCTCAGGTCATGATCCCTGGGCCCTGGGATCGGGCCCCACATCAGGCTCCCTGCTCAGCGGGAAGCCTGCTTCTCCCTAGCCCTTCCCCCTGGCTCGTGCTTTCTTCTCTCTCTCAAATAAATAAATAAAATCTTAAAAAAAAAGAAATAGAACAATGTGTTCAACATGCAACAGGAACACATATTCATGGCAAAGAATAAAAGAACATAAAAAGAAAAACAAATAACGTCAAGCCTGATAGATCAAAACGTTATTTCCGGGCCGCGTGGGTGGCGGAGTCGGTTAAGCGTCCGACTCCTGGCTTCGGCTCGGGTGGTGACCTCAGAGTCATGAGACAGAGCTCCAACAGGCTCTATGCCCAGGGCAGAGTCTGCTTAAGATTCTCTCTCCTTCTCCCTCTACCCCTCCTGCCCCACCTCCCTCTCTGTAAATCAATCAATCAATCAATCCTTTAAAAATAAATAAATAAAACAAGAAAACATTATTTCTGGAACAGTACTGCCACTCGCTACTTGTGGCAGAATGATTTCCTCCTTGGGCTGTCCCTCCAGCCAGAAACCAAAGAATTACACAAGAGTTCTGTTTCGCTTCTCAGGGTGGTAGGTTACAGGTTGTAGGAAGGAAAAAAACAAACAAAAACACGTATGTGTAAAGGCAAAAAGCCAGTGTGACACGGGTGCTGTTATTTATAAAGACACAAAACCATCTCTGAGTGGTTTATAAGGCCGCACACCAGAAAACAATGTGTCATCGCTTATTAAACATTATGTATCTAAGAGTTTATTCAGAGACAATAAATAGAGTCAATGAAAACTGCCCCGCGGCCCGTGTCCCCAGAGCAAGAGGTGACTCTCCATTACCTATGTAGCGTGTCGCCTCGTCGGTCTCCCCACCGAAAGCGATCTTTTGTCCTTCAAGCAAACTTAGTATCCTCTTAAAATGACGAAGGTTGATGATCCGCTCATAATCAGGAGATTCTTTTATATTTTCGCCATAAAATTCCTATTTAAAACAGTAGTATTTAATTGCCACAAAAGGCCCCTATTTCAGTGTCTTTAATAAGCGCAAAACCCACTCGTGCCCAAAAAGCCATCTGGTTGTAGATCACCGCCCTTCTCCCTCAGGTCATCTAACAGTGTTTCTGCTTTCTTGCAGGCTGTGGACGAGAATTAAAGCAGGTGCACAGACCGGAGGACTCTCTGTGATGTCCGGGGTTCGTATGGATCTCCTGCAGACTGGTCGGGGGCCGTCCTGGCGGTGAACGCTCTCAATCGAATCTCAAGTCAAGAGGAGCGTTGTTCACGACCCCCGTAAGCAACGCCCTCAGGCCTAGGCGCCAAGAATCACGCAGGCAGCCTGCTGATGGGCCCCAACTTCCCGGGCCCCAGCTCCGGAGCCACCAACAGTGGTTTTCAAGGCTACGTGCCCCTTAGAATCACAGAAGGTGAGGACTGGAAACTTCCATACGCAGTTCCCTGGTAGAACCTCAGTTGAGAACTGCTGTCTTAAGGACGCAAATGCCTCAAAGGAAGGCAGAGGGGATCCTATTCCTTTGAAACCAAGTTCATCCCCCTATTCAACTAGGCACGTCTTCTCCAATCTCCAGGGGTTTTCCGTCTCACAGGTACCCCGAAGCCCTGCCATCCCACCACATTCCTTGAATCTGGCCAATACCCCTTTCATGTTCTCCTTTTCTGGCCCTATCTTCAGTCCCATCCCTCACGGCCAAGTCCCACATCAAGACCTTCAGCCCCTTGTGCCCAGAGTGACCCCGCCTGGATCCCTGCTTTTCTCTCAACTTCCCAGGACACGCTCTTCATTCTCTGATCATAATGTGACTCCTCGGTGTCCCCAGTCCTTCCTTTGAGGGCTCAGTTAGCATCTGCTGAGTGAACCGTGACTGTTCCAGTAATTTCTTTCACCCAGGGGGCTTAATGACCCCCTCCCACCGGTGAGCTCAGTCACACTGGTTCACCCCCTTCTTTCTTCCCAATCCTACATTTCTTCGAAGTTTAGCTCAGGCCACTACCACAGCATTTCTCGATTCCTTCTAGAGAGATCTTTACTTGGAACACCCTGAAAGACTGATAACCAGGCCGAGAGTATAGTTACTTACCTACTCCATACTTACTTGATTAACTCACTCCTCCAAACTACTGGCCTTCCTAAGCCCTCTGCACACACAAGAACCAATAACCTGAATCAGCAATGCCCAACAGGCCAAAGGGCCTCTGACTGCATTTCACAGGATTGGCAACATCCTCTAAAAAAAACCATGAAACATAGCTATTTCATTTTTTTTTCAGGGCCTGTGCCATAACTCACCAGTTGTTTCAACACATCAACTAGACAGTTGAAGTGGGTTAAACACCAACCTATCTTGCTCCTAACAGACATTCTATGAAAGGTGCCCAGAGCATTCTGAATAAGCCCATAAATTAATTCAGCCACATGTGCTCCTGGAATTCTCCTGGGGCAGGGCAGGGGGAGGAAGGACCAGGGATGCGGCCTGCACAGCTGATTAGATGCATAGCTTAACAAAACCAATGGACTCAAATGCATTAAGCACAAACCTTCACGGTTTCCTTAATCTTCTGCACAATTTGATTCTGGAGGGACGGTTCACAGAGAATGTAGTCAGGAGCAATGCAGGTTTGGCCACAATTCATGTACTTCCCCCAAGTTATACGCCTGAGGGGGGAAAAAACCAGAGAAGTCATAGAATTCAGTCTACTACTCATCGGCTACACCTTTTCCTGTTGTTTGACTATTTTGCAACTAGCAGGTATTCAGAGATTTACTTAGTAGTCTTTGTAGTTATTTTTTTTTTAAAGATTTTATTTTTTTATTTGAGAGAGAGAGAGAGAACAGGAGGAGGGGCAGAATGAGAAGGACAAGCAGACTCTGTGCTGAGCGCAGACCCCGTGCGGGGCTCGATCCCATGAACCTGAGATCATGACCTGGGCTGAAATCAAGAGTCGGATGCTTAACTGACCGTGCCACCCAGGCGCCCCTGTAGTCTTTATAAAGAACAAAAATGTTTAAAAAAATTTTTTTATAAAGATTTTTATTTATTTATTGAGAGAGAGAGAGAGAGAGAGAGCATGAGAGGGAAGAAGGTCAGAGGGAGAAGCAGACTCCCCGCCGAGCAGGGAGCCCAATGCGGGACTCGATCCCGGGACTCCAGGATCATGACCTGAGCCAAAGGCAGTCGCTTAACCGACTGAGCCACTCAGGCGCCCAAGAACAAAAATGTTTTAAAAACTCATCTCTTAATCAGTTGGTTGCCACTCAGGGTGCAATTTCCTACTGACACAGTATACTCTAAGGAGCAGGGACGTTCTCATGCCAGCTCGTGGGAAACAGTACTTTATAAGCAACGAAGCCACTGCCTGTTTTGAGAAAAACAGCAGACTCCCCACACCCACTTCTCCTCCCGCTCTAGCCAAGGGGACATCCAGATGTCAGGAGTTCCAACTCTCCCGGTTGTGGCTCTAGGTCCTGCTGGCAAGAGGTTCAGCTAAAAAGCAGGAAAGCAGCCAGCCCCCAAGACCACCCTCTTCTCTGGGGAGCCCCTCCCTACTCTGGAAAGCCACGCCCACATATGGATCAAAGCCTGCTTCCTGAACCTTCCCTGAAGGCCTCATGCTCTGGCAACCAGACAACCTGGACATAGCCTACCTGCCTACAAGCCCTCTTTGTGCATCTCTGGAAGGGGAGCGAGAAGCCAGACCACCTCGATAAGCACAGAGCCAGTCCTGGGTTTTGGCATTTCCGGGGAGCTAAATAAACCTGATCTAACAGAGAGAGAATCTGAAACCTTTTGTTTTCTGGCTCCCAGGTGCACGATGTTATTCTGACTGAAAACATGAGTAATAACTGATTTTTGTCAACAAAGGAACTCGTTGAGAGGTGAGCATAATACCTTTCTGTTGGGAATCTAAAGATTTTATTACGTGCACACGATCTTTTACCTACCGCCCAGATCACCTACCAGCAGAAGAGTGAAATTTCTTGCTACGTCTGTAACCTTAAGATAGCACTTTTCTGTAACTCCTAAGGACAACCACGCAATGTCAAGACCCGTTGCTCGTTTCTTCTGGCAGAGGCAGCAAGAGACGGTTTGGGAAAGAGTTCCACTGCCCCTAGGGACATCAACCACCCAAGCGTCCCAATGTGTCTCCGAGCCAGGAGGCCCAGGACCCCGGTGCCGAGAGGACACACCAACCTGTCGGTGTCGGGAAGCCCTCAGATATAAGTAGGCTCACCTGCAGGCAATGTCCAGGTCACAATCCGTGTCGACATAACACGGGCTCTTCCCTCCCAGCTCCAGCGTCACGGGGGTCAGATGCTTGGCGGCGGCTTCCATGACAATCTTCCCGACCGCCGTGCTCCCCGTATAGAGAATGTGGTCAAACCGCTGCTTCAGGAGCTCCGTGGTCTCTTTGATGCCACCGTTAATAACAGCATACAAGTCCTTCAGGAAGGAGAAACAGAGGCACTGACGTCACCACATTAATCCCACCATCTAACGAGCACTTTCTCCGACGTAAACCTGAAGCATTCAGGAACAGCGGGGGAAAGAGGGGGAGCGGCCCCGAGGAGGAGGCAGGAGGGCGCTGACGGAGGACACGTGCAGAACAGAGTCTGCGGGCGTCTGAGACCCCTCCGCCTGCAGCTTCCACACCGAGCTCGGCAGTGAGGACACCCAAGAGAAGAGATCGAACGGCTAGATGGATTCGACCGGGGAGATGCGCGAGATGGGGGCCGTGCGAGTGGGAGATTTTGGTGAAGAGTTTGCGGTCAGGGAGCAGGGGACAGGTCCCAGCTCCAGCTGAGTGTCCCCAGCTGAACGTTCTCGCCCTCCACAACTGTGCAGGGCTCAGCCCGGGCCAGGAACGAGCAGAACTCGAGGCAACGCAGGGGAGAGCCCTCGCTCTAGAAGTCAGATCTGGACTCAGTCTGGGCTCCGTCACTCACTAGCAGCCCTGCTGCACATCCGTGAGCCTCAGGTTCCTTACGTGGGACTAGGGACAGGCCCCAGTGCTCTGGACGGAGCCCTCAGGTGCCCCGTGCTCTTCCTCACGAACAGCTAGAATGGAAGAGCGCCTAGTGCAGCAGCAGCTGAGGAGCAAGGACAGGAAACAGAGAGCAAGACCGGACACAGAGACGGCTGTTCAAAAGACTCGGAGAGCACGACATAAAAGCGGCCTGGGGGGCCTCATGCTCCCACTCGATCCCCTACTAATTAGGAGGACTCATTAGTTCTCGCTCCCCCCCATAGTTCAACTGTCCAACAAACACTTCAAGTTTTAACTTGCATGTGGGTTAATCTATGGGAACGTCTGTGACTGGTCCCCCAACAACCTCAGAGAGGCGGGGTGGGCCTTTCTGTCCCCATGGAGTGAGACTGAGAAGAATTTATGGGGTGAGGGGCAAAGCCGGACCTTCAACCTCCATCTTCTGGTTCCAAATCCTACTCCACCCATGACCTCTCCCTGTTGTCTTCACCCTCTTGAGCCGGATAACCACAGCTATTAGGACAACGTAGTTCCGTGAGAGTGACAGTGACAGGACAGCAGTGGCACTGACAGGACAGCAAGGAGAGCCCACGGTCAGCCTCCAGATTGTTCCAGTAACATGTACAACTCCAGCTATGACTCGATCCCAAATCCTAAATTAGGACTCCTCCCTACAGCAATTTCATGCAGACAGCCAACATGACACGCACTAGTAGGAAGATCAGATGTGTGTCCACCCACCCCCAATAGAAACGGACACACCGAGGATGGGTCAAGACATTATTACCTGGTCCAAATACTGTGGGAGGAGTTCGGCCAAGATCTTAGCCGTTTTTTCACTTAGTTCAGAAGGCTTGATAATGACAGCATTTCCTAAACAAAGCAAAAAAAAGCAGGACAGCATCTTTTGATACTTGAGTAACTTTAAAACCTACCAAAACGGTGTTCATGGTGGGAATACAGGCTAAGTACTCCTATTACTTCTGCAGCTGCGAATTCTGCTCTTCCTCAACGAGCGTTAAGAGCTTGTCTTTTTCTTTTTTTTAAAGATTTTATTTATTTGAGAGAGAGAGAGCTCCTGCACACGAGTGGGGGAGGGGCAGGGGGAGAGGGAGAGGCAGGCTCCCCGCTGAGCAGGGAGCCCAACGCGGGGCTCGATCCCAGGACCCCGAGATCATGACCTGAGCTGAAGGCAGAAGCTTCACCGACTGAGCCACCCAGGCACCCCAAGAGCTTGTCTTCCTTCCTCAGATTCGAACTCCTTGGTTTTCATTAGCTGACAATAGGCTCCATTATCCTCCCCTACTCCTATAGCTTTACTGCCACTCTCACCGCTGGACTTTCCTGTTTGCCTTGGAATTCTGGGCGAACAAGCCTTGTCAACATAAAGTTGTTGACTGGGATCTGGCAGAAGTGAGAAATCAATCTTCCGGTGTCTGCCATATACCCAAGCTAGTGTTACTCCCACAGCCCACAGCTGGATGAAGAATCTGGTCAGATACGATTGATTGGTTCACCCAACGCCAGAGTCAGCAACTAAAACCACCCGAGAACATGGATGGCTGACTCCAAACTCTCCTGGACCCATCAACGCATGACTTTAGACCCTCACAGGTTCATTCTCCGGGTATTTCAAAAAACAGTCACCATTTGCAAACAAATCTCTGGAGCCCACTTTAAAAATGATAAAATAAAGGGGTGCCTGGCTGGCTTAGTCAACAGAGCGTGTGGTTCCTGATCTCAGGATTATGAGTTTGAACCCCACACTGGGTGTAGAGATTACTTTAAAAGAAAATAACGTTAAAAAAAAAAAAAAAAATCCCTTTCCACGTCACAGCTCCTCCCAGCCCAGAGAGACCTAATGATAATCCATCCCAAAACAACCTTTGGCCGGTTCTACCCCGCAGAACCTGCCTGCTCACCCACCTTGACAGTGTACTTTTGCTTTAATAAACTGCTTTGCGCTTACTAAAAAAAATATATATATATATGAACGATAATACTTTTGCATCCTCGGTACACTGCTGGTGTAAAGCAAGGCAAACCACAACAGCAAATGACCCCAGACCTGCGGCAATGGCTCCGATCAGAGGTTGAATGGTGAGAACAAAGGGGTAGTTCCAGGCTCCAATAATCAGTACGACTCCCAGGGGCTCCGGCTGAACATAGGCCTCATCCAGCATGGTGAGCAGGTTCTTCTGAGCCGGTTTAGCAGTAACCCATTCAGAAAGATTCTCCAGCACGAGATCAAGTTCGCCAAGAATGGTAATGACTTCCTGACTGTATGCGTTGAGTTCACTCTGTTACAGAGAGAGTCGCGGTTAACCTTGCACAAGCCTTGCACAAGTCTGACACACTCAGCCCTGAACGCCGAAAATCAGGTCAGGTGCACCTGCAGTGACATTTATGACACCAAGCTGGTTTGCTGTGCAGACTCCTTTCGCATCCTTCATGCCCTCAGCAAGGCCTTGCGAACTTGGCTCTAATATAGTTAACCCCTCTAAATCCTTCTTTACTGATCCAAGCCTTTTATTTTTTTATAAAGATTTTTATTTATTTACTTGTCGGAGAGAGAGTGTGCGCACAAGCATGGGGCGGGTGGGGGAGGCAGGCAGAGGGAGAAGCAGGCTCCCCACCCAGCAAGGAGCCCAATGCGGGACTTGATCCCAGGACGCTGGGATTATGACCTGAGCTGAAGGCAGATGCTTAACCGACTGAGCCACCCACGTAGCCCAGATCCAAGCCTTTTAGAGTCAGGATTAAACATTACTTCTTTCAGGAAGATTTCCCTGATTAATATTAGCCCATCTTGATCACACTTCATAAATCATAGCAATTCTGCCTCTGATGTGTATGTTAATGTCTCACCTTTACACACTGATTTGTAACTGTATACACACTGTATCTGTGTATGTTTTGTTTCCCAAATTCAAATCCCGCAAGGGATTACTGTTTTCTTAAGTAATCATATATGTATACACGCACTCACACAAACATCTGTTTACAGAATGACTGATTCATCCTTTTTGAAATCTTAATTATGTCACCTTGTTTATTTGATATCACAGTCTCTCTCTACCAAAAATACTAGAAAGGAAAGTTGAGAGTTACCGTTGTTACTATTACTACTGGTGTTACTACCCCTCAAAATAATCTTTGGGGGAAGTGAGGGAGACTCACAGAACCAGAGCAGGGCCTTGTTACCCCTGGAATAAAGATAAAATGTAAAAACAAAGTGATAACAAAATAGAGAGTAGGGGCGCCTGGGTGGCTCAGTCGTTAAGGGTCTGCCTTCGGCTCAGGTCATGATCCCGGGGTCCTGGAATCGAGCCCCGCAACGGGCTCCCTGCTCAGCGGGGAACAGCCTGCTTCTCCCTCCCCCACTCCCCCTGCTTGTGTTCCCTCTCTCGCTGTCTCCCTCTGTCAAATAAATAAAATCTTTAAAAAAAAAAATAGAGAGTAATATACTTACACCCTAAATATTACCTCACACCTTGCTACTCAAAAGTGGTTCCAGGTGTTTTTGAGAAGATGGCGGAGAAGGAGGATCCTGAGCTCACCTCCTCCCACAGACTCTCCAAGGCTCCAACTGCATAGAGAGTAACTCTTCTCTGAGAACGACCTAAAGACCCACAGAACACCTCTTCCACAGCTAAAGACATAAAGAAAAAGCTACATGGAGAAGGCCGGGGGTGGGGGGTGGGGAGCAGAGACATGGTCTAGTCCAAACGTACACCCCCGGCACGGGGACCCACAGCCAGGAGTGGTATCATAGGCGTGGCGATCCTCCCTGAAGAGGGAGGGGTTCAAGCCCCACATCAGGTGTCCCCACCCTCGGGACCTGCACCGAGGAGCCTCTGTTAACTCTGGCTCTGAAAATCGGCAGGCCTTGATGGGGACAGGGTTAGTGAAGAACTGGAGGGCTACAAGAAACCAAGATGCTGCTCTTAAGCTGTCTGCACACAAACTCACTCAGCATAGAGGTAGCAGTTTGAAAAGCACCTGGGCCATATGTGAAGGAGATTTATTGACTAATTTTAGGGTGTGTGCCATATTAAAAACAGAAATACCACACCATCCCACAATTCCACTTCTGAGTGTTTATCCAAAGAAAACGAAAACATTAATTAAGGGGCGCCCGGCTGGCTCAGTCGGTGGAGCATGAGGATTCTGGCTCCTGGGGGCATGAGCTCAAGCCCCACACTGGGTGTAGAGATTACTCTAAAAAATAAAATCTTAAAAAAAAAAATACACTAATTCAAAAAGACTTATGCATCCCTACGTTCACTGCAGCATTATTGACAATAGCCAAGATACGGAAGCAACCTAAGTGTCTGACAGATGAACAGATAAAGAAAATGTGGTATATACACACGTATATAGATACATACACACACACACACACACACACACACACACACACGTATATAATGGAATACTACTCAGCCCTAAAAAAGCAAGTAATCTTGCCATTGGTGACAATATGGCTGGACCCAGAAAAGGGGAAATAAGTGAAAAAAGCCATATTGCACACTTACGTTGTACACCTGAAACTAATATAATAGTGTATATCAACTATACCTCAATTTTTAAAAAATGAAATAATTTTTTAAAAAGTGTGGTTTCAAAACAGGCAACATGGTATCACCTGGGAGCTTGTTAGAAAACTTCCAGTCTCAGATGCCCTCCAAGACCTACTGAACTGTAACTTGCATTTTAACAAGATCCCCAGGCGAATCACCAAGGCACTCGAGTTTGAGGAGCACTGGCCTAAAACACAGAGTCAGGGAGGAAAATTTCAACGCAGCAACGACAACCCAAAAACCTCTGTCAACAAAAGAAAACCATAAACCAAAAGGCAAGAAACAGACCTGGAGAAAAACATTTTGCGATTAAGCTGACAAATTAGCGAAATCCGCAACATACAAAGAATTCTCAGAAATAATAAAGGACCGCAAATGCAACAGAAAAACAAGCAAGGATATAAAAGGCAATTCACAAAAGAGAACAGAGGCCAGAAGACACTTGTGTCTTTCTCTCCCTGTTGTCTGCAATCAGAGGCACTAAGCCGCATCAGCGTTTCGGGAAAGTCAAGGGAAACTCGCTTTATCAGTACGGCTGGAGATAACACTCCCACAGTGCTTACGTAATCAAAAATAAATTTTAAAAAAATGCGAAAGCTCGGGCGGAACGCGGTCCCCAAGTGGGGCGGCGGCAGGCGGGTGTCCCGGAGCCGGCCGCCGCGCGCCTACCTTGCACAGGTCGGCGGCGAGGGCCTCCAGGATGTCCTTCTCGCGCTCCTGCACCATCCTGCGCAGGGCCTCGAGCTGCTGCAGCCGAAACTTCACGGGGCGCGACCGGCCGGACGCGAACGCGTCGCGAACCCGCTGGATTTGGCTCTCCATGGCCTGGTCCTGCCGAGAAAGGGGAGGTCGGGGAGCGCCGCGGCGGCGAGGGCGTGGCGGGCCGGCGGGATGCCCCCGCGGGCGGGCGCCGCCTCCCTCCCCGCTGCCCCCCGTCCCGCCCGGCGACCCCTCGGCACTGAGCCGGAGCCGCACCTCTCTCCCCCGCCGGCTCGCTCGCTGCGCCGCGTCCTCTGCTGCCGCCCGGGTCCAGCAGTCCCACCGCCGCCCGGCGGGGCTGGGCTCCACCCGCAGCCGCGCGCCGATTGGCCGGCGCGGGTCACGTGACCTCGGCGGGCCGGCCACCGCTCCCGGGATCTGGCCGCGGGGTGCGCGCGGCGGGGCAGGGGTGCGCGCGGCGGGGCAGGGGTGCGCGCGGCGGGGCAGGGGTGCGCGCGGCGGGGCAGGGGTGCGCGCGGCGGGGCAGGGGTGCGGCGGCCGCGTGCGCGGAGCTGGCGCCGAGGTTTCCGAACGGAGACGGGGAGCGGAGGGCGAGCGGCCGCGCGCTGGAGAGAAGCGGACGCGGCGCAGGAAGCGCGCCGACCGCCGGCGGAGCGCGGCCCACGCGCAGACACGCCCTCGCGAGGGGATTCCCTTCCCTCCTCCATTTTGGGGCTCTCAGAGGCGGCCCAGCGGACCGAGGCGGGAGGCCCGGCGCCGCCCAAAGCCTGGGGCGCCGTGGGCCGGGCCTCGCCGCGTCGGTGGGCAGTGGGCGCCATCGCCCCGCGCGGCCGTGCGGCTCTGGACCTTCGAGACCGCCGCCCGCCGCCGCGTCTCCTGCCCGCGCTCGTCGCTGCTCTGCTTGCAGCGTGCACGGTTTTCCAGAAAGCCCTCCGCGGTTAATCTCCCGAGGGCAGGAAGCCAGGGCCTCATCTAGGGCTGGGCTGGCCGAGTGCGGATGTTCAAAACGCTCTCCCCGGGCTGCCTCTCACCCCGCTAGCAACTTTCCCGTTTTTCTGTTCCCCTTTGCAGCAGAACCCCTCCAGAGAGGGCACCCACGCCGCTCGCATTTGCCTCCCGCTTGCTGTGTGCCAGATGCAACGAGGTCATCCTCAGATTCCGCGGCGGTTGGCCCCACTCATCGGTTGCCATCTTCTGGAGCCCCCGTCTTGGCTTGTTTTCCACCCCTCTGCACGCTTCTGGTTTTCTTTTTACCTCCCCGGCGGAGCTCTCTGCGATCTCCTTTCTGGACCAGCCTTTGGACCACTTCTCTTTTCACAGCCCAGGACTTCCTCATCTAATCCCGTGGGTGGTGGTCAGAGACGGCTTTAAACTCAGTCCCTAGTCCCACCCTTTTTTCCAGACCCCCAAGGACCGTGTTTAACTCCGTCCAGTTCATCTCTATTTGAATGTATCAATGGGCATCTGAAGTTCACTTTAGGTAGAACTTTTTATCTACCCTCATCCACCAAATACAAGGCACACCTCCTCCAGTGTTCCCTACTTCAATAAATGGTATGTCTTTTATCCCGTTTACTGAGGCCAAAGTCCTTGAAATCATCGTTGCCTCTTCTCTTTGGCCCTATGTTCAAAAAATATGTTGAATTCCAACCACATGAACCCTAGTCCAAGCCAAATCATTTCACTTGCAGGGTCTATGGCACTAGGATCCTACTGCTTCCCCTGCTTCTACTCTTGGATTCTGTGGGGGTTGCATATAGGTCATTTCTCATTTCTATACTTGCCCTTGTATAGTACTGTACCGTGGGGGCCCAGAATGTATAGACTACTTTCCCCAGGTTCTCATGCCAGAGCTTCTACCATTGGGAGGCGTAAGCAGGAAATAAGGTAGGAGGTGGAGAGTAACCTGCTTGCTTCTGGATTCAATAGTGCAATAGTTGCTGGCCACTTCTCCAGTGAAAGGGGAGGTAGGATCATTCCCGACTCCAGCAGCAGTTACATCCTCGGTCCAGGCAACACTTCTGTAGTAAATAGAGGATGACGGAGGACAGGCACCAGACCTGATGCAGCTCCCGTGGGTTTCGCCAAGGGTATTTTTAGCAGCCTCTAATCTTTGATACCACTCCATTCTTCCATTTGATATGTGACTCCTAAAATTCCGCCTGAAATAACTAGAGTGGTTTCTCTTTCCCGGGCTGGGCCCTGACCGACACATCTCGCTACAACCTTTTCTCCAGCTAGCTGTCACGGGTCCTTGTTTATGACCGTCTACCCCACTCGAATGTCTTATAAAGGCAGGGACTTTGTCTTGCATGTTCACTGTAATATTAACATCTAGTGTAGAACGTGGCCATTGGTTGGTATTCAATAAAGATTTATTGAAAGAATGAATGAGGGTGCCTGGGTGGCTCAGTTGGTTGAGCGACTGCCTTCGGCTCAAGTCATGATCCTGGAGTCCCGGGATCGAGTCCCGCATCGGGCTCCCTGCTCGGCAGGGAGTCTGCTTCTCCCTCTGACCTTCCTGCCTCTCATG